TCCAGATTTCAATTTCTGCGCAGGAATAGTTCATGTATGTTCATGTTGATGTTTACGCAGGGCAAATTCCGAAGGCGCATTCTCCGAACATATAGTATGTATACCTGGAGTCTCCACTACCCTTCGTTTTTGGGTGTCGTTTGCAAAGCACATCTTTTCTTTGGGTACGTTTGATACTTTTTGGGTCATTTCAAAGTCATTTCATGCAAACAAAGCCTTTTGTCTTCCAAGCAGGTGCTGGCTATATACACTAAGCATTACTAAGCTAAATCATGTGAGCGTTTTGTGCTTGTCCTGCCTGATGTTGAATCAGGCACCCTCACACATCATTCAGATGCAGGCGCATGACTAAAACTTCTCTTTTTCTGAACAACTTTGGATCCACGATTCGCGTCGAAATATAAAACATTTGCCTGCTTTTTACAATGAGCTGCGGGGGCAAACATGTGCACCTTGCGACACTTCTGCGGAATATACACAGGGTTTGAGCACATCCACTCGCCCTGATCTTGTGGTGCCAACTGCTGAACCAGTTTTGACAAATGGACTGACGGACGTGAAAAGAAAATGCGTTTTTAAAAAAACCTTTTGGTTCGGACGGGCCCAAACTGGATGGATATATCTGTACTTTGGACGCATTTTTCCGTACTTTCGGACGTCGTCCGGACGGCCCTCAGCAAAAAAAGGTACGTTTGAAGAAGAAAGGCCTTTGAATGATTTGCATGTTTGCATTGTGTGGGCAAATCTTCCAAGGAAAATTTCCACCAAAATTGAGCAATGTACCCGTATGTCCGCAAATGAGTGTTGAGACCTAGCCTCATGCGTGCAAAAATGAAGGAGCAAAGCACGGCCAAAAATCAAAGCAAGGAAGATCGAAACCATAGCATCAAAAACATAAACGAGAACCAATACTTTGGAATCTGCACCTTCAATCAGCCAAAATCAAAATGGCACCTGCAAAAATGAATTGCAAGTTGGCAATGTTTCACAACATTTAATTATTTGATTTCCACAACTTCAGCTGTACCTCCATGAGTGAACATCACTAACATGCAAAAAACAGTATTTAATTTTTATTACAAAAAAAAGTACTTCGGACAAAAATGTGATTTTCTTGAAAGACACCAAAAATGAAGAGTCTTGGGAGAGTCAAGGCATCATATATATATACTCATATAAAGGCTTCTATAGATTATAGATGATTATAGATGATTATAGACTTATAGATCTAAATTAAATGAACATAATTGAACATAATCTATTTTCATTGGGTAATGGCCGAGATGCCGGAGGAATTTTGGCCTGCCAAAACAGAATTGCCAAATTGCCAAGGCAGGTGTCCTTTGCGGCTGAAGATTGAGGCTGCTGCCCAGCTGTGTTGAGCTGCTTCATGTGCGGCAGCAAGGGCTGCGCGACTTGTCCGCAAGGACTGCAGCTGTTTGGCCAAGGCCACCTTCAAAACAAGTCGAGCGTTGTCAATGATGTCGGGCCACCAAAATATGCAAAAAGCACCATTGTTTGATGCCACTCCTTGCGGTCCAATCAAGGGTTGTAATCAGTGCCAGTGAAGCACATGCACATACTTGGAAATAGAAGAAGCACTTACTTCATAAAGATGCACAGCAAGTTGTGCGCATCAAGGTTTGACACACTGAATGCGGATCATCTCAAGCATGCAAGTTTTTCTCTTTTCCGACAACCTAGTCACCTGAAAGGTGCTTTAACTACGATGGGAGCTGCCTAAAGCAAGCCTGCCAATGCTGGTAAAACCAACAGTGAGACAAATTGTTCAAATCAACTAAACTTGCATTGAATTCACTAATCTACGGCATTGATGGCCTTGCGCCGTCAGAGGCAAGCGAGTCCAGTTTCACAGCAGGCTCGGTCTCCCCTGCCCTTTTCAGAGCAACTGACAGGAGATAGGGCTGTTGCTGTTGCAGCCTTTTGGGGCTATCTTCAGACTTGCCTGGCTGGCCTGGCTTGCCTTGTGGCAGGAGCTGTTGCAGCAATGCATGAGCCTGTTCTGTTTGCATGATGCACTGGTGGAACTGCTCCGACTGGGCAAAGTTTGCAACACATTTCTCCAACTCTTCTTTACGTTGCTGATGAAGTGCCATGGAGGAGCGCAGGTCACGCAAGTTCAAAGCAGGGCTAAGCTGGCCATTGCAGTTTTCCTCACTCTGAACAGCTTCTGGTTCTCCCAGTTCTCCCAAATCAGCCTTATCTTCCACCAATTGGGCTGCAATCCCATTGGTTCCATCGCTCTTTTTCTTCGTTTCTACAACTCGTTCAGGTGAGGCACTTCGGGAAGACCTGGAAGGTCTGGACCTTGATTCTGCCTCTGAAAAGGGGCGCCTGCGACCTCCTGCCAGAGCATGGGGGCTTTCGCTACTACCTCTCCCAGCTCGGGGGTCCTTTCGAAACTTTGGCGAGACAGACTTTTGAGAACGTAGGTGCCGCAATTGTATGGCAGGACTCCTGATGGACAGCTCCTGCTTCAAATCTGTTTGCGACGGCTCAGTCACAGTCTTTGAAATATCTGGTGCGTCTGACGCCTCAATTCCAACAGTTGCAAGCCCACTCACATGGTTGGCAGAGTCTTGGTTCTTCGTTGTCTGTTCCTCAAGTTGAGCTCCAGGTTGAGCTTCCCTTGCGGCTTCTGCGACGAGATCAAACCCATCTGCTGCAGCTGTGACAGGGACAGAACCAGGAAGGGTCACGTTTCCACTTTCCCCTCTTGCTCCTCTTTCTGCTTTACCTGCCCCATCTTTGCCTGCAGCATTTCCATCGAATGAGCGAAAGTTGCGCAGTTGCAAAGCAGGACGCCCTACAAACTGCCCCTGCTTCAAATCTATCTGCAAAGGCTGAGGCTTTGAAACATCTGGTGCATCTGACGCCTCAATTCCATTGCCAGCTTCTGCATGAACAGTTCCAAGCTCACTCACATGGTTGGCAGAGTCTTGGTTCTTCGTTGTCTGTTCCTCTTCAAGTTGAGCTCCAGGTTGAACTTCCTTTGCGGCCTCTGCAACGAGATCAAACCCATCTGCTGCAGCTGTGACAGGGACAGAACCAGGAAGGGTCACGTTTCCACTTTCCCCTCTTGCTCCTCTTTCTGCTTTACCTGCCCCATCTTTGCCAGCAGCATTTCCATCGAATGAGCGAAAGTTGCGCAGTTGCAAAGCAGGACGCCCTACAAACTGCCCCTGCTTCAAATCTATCTGCAAAGGCTGAGGCTTTGAAACATCTGGTGCATCTGACGCCTCAATTCCATTGCCAGCTTCTGCATGAGCAGTTCCAAGCTCACTCACATGGTTTGCAGAGTCTTGGTTCTTCGTTGTCTGTTCCTCTTCAAGTTGAGCTCCAGGTTGAGCTTCCCTTGCGGCCTCTGCAACGAGATCAAACCCATCTGCTGCAGCTGTGACAGGGACAGAACCAGGAAGGGTCACGTTTCCACTTTCCCCTCTTGCTCCTCTTTCTGCTTTACCTGCCCCATCTTTGCCAGCAGCATTTCCATCGAATGAGCGAAAGTTGCGCAGTTGCAAAGCAGGACGCCCTACAAACTGCCCCTGCTTCAAATCTGCTTGCAAAGGCTGAGGCTTTGAAACATCTGGTGCATCTGAAGCCTCAATTCCATTGCCAGCTTCTGCATGAACAGTTCCAAGCTCACTCATATGGTTGGCAGAGTCTTGGTTCTTCGTTGTCTGTTCCTCTTCAAGTTGAGCTCCAGGTTGAGCTTCCCTTGCGGCCTCTGCAACGAGATCAAACCCATCTGCTGCAGCTGTGACAGGGACAGAACCAGGAAGGGTCACGTTTCCACTTTCCCCTCTTGCTCCTCTTTCTGCTTTACCTGCCCCATCTTTGCCAGCAACATTTCCATCGAATGAGCGAAAGTTGCGCAGTTGCAAAGCAGGACGCCCTACAAACTGCCCCTGCTTCAAATCTATCTGCAGAGGCTGAGGCTTTGAAACATCTGGTGCATCTGACGCCTCAATTCCATTGCCAGCTTCTGCATGAACAGTTCCAAGCTCACTCACATGGTTTGCAGAGTCTTGGTTCTTCGTTGTCTGTTCCTCTTCAAGTTGAGCTCCAGGTTGAGCTTCCCTTGCGGCCTCTGCAACGAGATCAAACCCATCTGCTGCAGCTGTGACAGGGACAGAACCAGGAAGGGTCACGCTTCCACTTTCCCCTCTTGCTCCTCTTTCTGCTTTACCTGCCCCATCTTTGCCTGCAGCATTTCCATCGAATGAGCGAAAGTTGCGCAGTTGCAAAGCAGGACGCCCTACAAACTGCCCCTGCTTCAAATCTATCTGCAAAGGCTGAGGCTTTGAAACATCTGGTGCATCTGACGCCTCAATTCCATTGCCAGCTTCTGCATGAGCAGTTCCAAGCTCACTCACATGGTTGGCAGAGTCTTGGTTCTTCGTTGTCTGTTCCTCTTCAAGTTGAGCACCAGGTTGAGCTTCCCTTGCGGCCTCTGCAACGAGATCAAACCCATCTGCTGCAGCTGTGACAGGGACAGAACCAGGAAGGGTCACGTTTCCACTTTCCCCTCTTGCTCCTCTTTCTGCTTTACCTGCCCCATCTTTGCCAGCAGCATTTCCATCGAATGAGCGAAAGTTGCGCAGTTGCAAAGCAGGACGCCCTACAAAATGCCCCTGCTTCAAATCTGCTTGCAAAGGCTGAGGCTTTGAAACATCTTGTGCATCTGACGCCTCAATTCTATTGCCAGCTTCTGCATGAACAGTTCCAAGCTCACCAACTTCATTGGCAAAGTCTTGGTTGCTCTGACTGTTTCCCTTCACAGGAGACGTTTGGCCTTGCCTTTTTTGTGAAAAAAGTCGAAGCTGGCTTGCCGCGGATTCGCATGGGTCTAAGGGTTGAAACCCTTCGGCATACCTCACCTCTACGTTTTCCTTGGCCTCAAGGTCAACCAGTTCTGCTTGCATTTGCCCTTCATCACCAGCTGGTGGCCAGAGCCTAGTACTCTGATCCACCAGAACAGCCCATCCTTGGCACATCTAAAATCAGTCACGCAAGTAGACGCAACAGTGGTCATAATCTATCACAAATCAGTCGCATCACAAAAAACCTTGGAAACAGCCAAACTTCAGAGATATGCAGCCGTGCAACTGTCATCCTGATCCTCCGGTTGGTCACATAGTCCTGGCTCCACGTCGGGACCTTTTTGCCTGGCTCTTGCAGGAAAGCGCCGCTGAATGCACAGAATCACTCGCCTTGGAAACGGCCAAAAACCAATGGAAGCGTCCAGCGTGAATCACATGAAATCGCATGACACATGAGGCAAATCTCAGGTTCAATCCATTCCAGCCATGTTAATCAACTGGGGTTACAGTAATAATCCGGATGGAACATACTGAATACATACCGAACCTTCAACATAGTTGAGACAAACAAACCCGGCACAGAGTTTTGGAATCACAAGGCAACTGCGGCCAAGTAGCCATACCGGCCACGCAACTGTGATCGCGGCCGCAAGACCACCGGCAACACCAAGGTATTCTGTTCGGCCCTCCTGGCTCAGGGGTCGTGTATGAGTTCACCACTTTCACCTTCGACAATCTGCTAAACCAAACACCAGCATCAATAGCTCTTTCCACATATGAAGGTTTTTCTTGAATTGAGGTACCCTCAAGACTCAAAACCACTGGTTTCCCAGTTTCCCATGGGTTTCCCATGGGTTTCCATGGGTTTCCCATGGGTTTCCCCTCAAAAAAATGGCCACGTTTGGGTGACCCTCCTCGGTGCTGGACAGCAAGGCCGGCAGGGACGTGGTGGCTGTGACCGTCACCAGCTGCGCCAGGGTCAGCGTCACCCGCGCCATGGCGACGCCGCGATCAGCCGCGCCATTGCCCAGCCAGCCCAGGGCACCCAAGGCTTAGCAGTGGCTGCGGAAAGATGGGGGATGAGTTAGATTTTGCTGAATTTTCTTGAAGGGGATTTTTGAAGACCTGAAATGACCAAAAAGGTTCTATAGTTGTTCTATTTTGTGGGGAACTCACAGCTGACGAAACTTGATAAAACTGCAAGAGTTGTGACAACTAAATGAGAACAAACGACATAGCGACAGGCATTCAAATTCACATCTCAAGATTTAAAAGCTATAGAAATCTGAAAACTTATTAACCACCTGATGTTACTGATGCATGGCTTCCATCACTGGCCATTCACTCTAGCCTCCAAAGAGCTTGGGCTTCTCAACCGCTGCTCAGGTACTGCAGTCTTCACCTAAAAAAAACTCCCGTGGCAAAAAGGTGGTACAACACAAGTCAACACATATCATCATGTGGGGAAGTCCTAAGATTTATGGTGCTTTAATTGAACCGGGCTTCGGATTTTCGATGATTTTCGGCTCCCCGCCAGCGCATCACCACTCCATCACAATCATCACCATGCGCAGGAACACTTTCGGAAGGAAAAAAATCAGGGAACAAAAAACACGGAATGCCGGGGACCCAAAAAAAAAACCATCCAGCTAAAAGCCCATTCTGGGAAAAGGACATGCCACTCAAAACACACCCAACCCCTCAAACCAGTTTGTCTTTTTTGAACATAGATGGAACCAGCGGGGTTTGGGGGGTCCAAAAGAGTTTTGGGAACAATCCCATAATGTCCATCATGAATCTCCAGACTGCGCCTGGCTCACCAGTCGCCAGGCATTCAAGCACTGTAGCTGAATGCGATAGTCCTGCAACGCGATTCTTCCCGCATTCCTTATGTGTCCGAGATCTTGGGAGTGGGGCGAACCACTGACTGCCTGTAATTCCTGTAGCTGTCATCTGGTGCGTTTAGCAGCTGAAGTTCAGCACATGCTACGTACCATATGTGTAAAACGCGTCTCTCCTCTTCTGTCCCGTTTCGCGACACCAGAGCTGCAGCTGCATTGCGCCGCGCTCTGTCTCGAAGCCTCTTTGGTTCAGGGATGTTCGGTTAGGCAAAAGTCAACAGGAGCCAGGCTAATATCGGCCAATCCAAGTCAACAATATAAACATAATATTTCGGTATACGTGCAGTACAGTAATTATATCATCACAAATCATATTGCCACAAAGGGTGTTCAAAGCAGAAGCATGCAGCCTGCTTTTGAACTGCTAAGCTTAAAGGCTTAACGTATCACCAGTGACAACTCCAGTGTCATCCAAGTCACTTTGATCGCCAATGCGTCAAGCACTGCTGAAGAACGGCAGAGTTCTGCCACACGCACATCGATTCCAAGGATTTCTGCGCAACCTCAGTTGACCCCCAGAGTCCCCAGAGTCCCCAGCACACCGCATGGCGCTGAGGATCTGACGGTCTTCAGGGACCTGACCTCGCTCATAGTCTTCTCACTTTGATCCACGGTTTCATCATTTTCCGTCGACGTTTCCTCATTTTCCACTCCGCCTTCGTTCAACCTGCGGCTGTCAACGGCAAAACACCTTGTTCTCCGTCAAGTATATGCCACTATTAGCACTGGGTGATACTGGGTGTTTGGCGGCATTTTTTAGCAGAAGCCGTTTGTTCATCTTGTTTCTGTGGATAAGGAGCAGGGAGAGGAATGAACGTGAAAGGAAAGAGGCAAAAGTATCAATGCATCAGTGGCCACAATGGAACGTGGCCCCAGCGTGATCACCACGTCTGCCCACGTGTGATTTAGGCAATCTGGCAATGAGGATCACACCTCATGTCCTCTTGAAGACCTTGGTTTTCAGAACGTAGGTGGACAGTTGCATGGTGCTGCTAGAGGACATGAGCCCGACTTCCGGTAATTACCACGTGTGATATAATGTACACTGTCTTGAGATGTTGGGATACCAGGTATCACATCCGAGAATGAGACAGAAATGCATGGAGTTCCGGTATTGGAGCGTCCCCTCATCTTCTCGAGCCTTGCATCACAGGAGAACTTCAGCATCACCAAACATCCACAATCCAAAGAGTGGCCGGCGTCTCTATCTACAGTTGCGTATTGGTACAGTAACATCTATCATGAAACCACAAGGTCTATGATGTTTATCTTTGTCAGTTTTCAACACTACTCACTGTTCCTCTGTTCTGGTGGCTAGAGACTGTAAGTCAGCATGCAGCATAAATGTGATTGAATCCTAAGGATGCATGCTTTCTACTCTTGATAAAAAGATATAAAAAGTGATTGTTGAAAACCGCAGTGACATCTTCATTGAGCATGTCATCTGCTGCCTTCCATACACTGTTCAGAACATGTTCGCTGAAGAGTTCGTGTCAAAGAGCAGTGTTCGCTGTGTGAAAGCAATGAATGATGTGATGAATTTATTTTTTTAGGTCTGCCTTATTCTGCCTTCCTGTCAATCTATCAACTTATCAATCTATTAGTTGCCTGCGGTATTTATACATTATCAGCAGTCATCGCCATGGCTGATTTCATGGGTTGTTTGCCCTTGTTCGGGCCCAGTTAATCAAGATTGGGGTCACTTTGCCTTGGCTCTTTTCCAACAAGGTGCCCATATATAAAACACCAATGAACACAATACCTGAAACACTGAGTTGGGGTTCTGGATGTTAATAGAGGCTTTCCTTTTGAAACACCGGCTCTAGTTGTCATGATTGATTCGCAACTCGATGCCAATCTACGTTCTCACACTTGAACCACTTGTCAAATGCCATGTGCCTCACTTTCCTGTTCTTTTCTCTTCATTGCTTATTTCATGTCTTCTGATTGGTATAATAACCCTGTTCCTTTCTTATCTCTTCGTTTGTCTTCTTGATCTTCGAAATGTCAAAAACCTGCAGCATCATCTTCCATGTGTTTAACAATCAATTTGACATCTTGGCATTGAGGATATATATATATATATTATATATACATACATGTGTGTATACAGATGTATGATGTAATATTAATATATATCTTGAATGATTTGCTATACTATAGCGCCTTAATGTATCTCACCCCACACGAAGGCTCCTATTCCGAGCCATGTCGTGCCTGTTCCAACTCCTGCCGCCACATCTCCGCCTTCATCTCCTGTAGCTGTGAACCTGGGCTCGGCCACGGACTGTGACAAAACATGAACAAATGAAAAGTTATAAGATTGATGTTATAAGATGTTATAAGTTATATTTTTTAATAAATGTTATAATTGAAAGTTCATGACAAATTCTGCAAAACTATGGCCCTGGATATGGCCCTGGATATGGCCTTAGCTTCGGGCGCTCCATGGCAGCTTCTGCTTCTCCAAAGGCTGCAGTGACTTCCAGTTGCAGTTCCGCCTGTTTCTCCTCCAAATTGCTCCGGAGAATCTCCCAAGCGTCGTTCTCCTCGTTTCGCAGGCGCCGTTCCTCTGCCAAGAGCTCTGCATAGTTCTCCTGCTCCTCGGGGTACTCCGCCAGTGTCAGGTTGCGGTGCAGAGCCTTGCGGTCAAACACCGATGGCGACAGCGACATCGACATCATCGACATCGACATCGACATCTCTGGCACTTCTTCTGGAAGAGACTCAACGGAAACTTCTTCTGGACTGTCAGGATCTGGAAGCTGTTCCCGGATGGAATTTCTTCTGACCTGCTTCAAAACTTGTTCAACATCTTCCTTTTCAGTGTACAACCTCTCGATCTCTTCCGTCGCTTCTTGAAGTTGCGCCTGCAAGAGTTGGACTGCAGGGGCTGGACGGACAGGACGCACTGGACCCAACGAAGCGGAAACGTCAGGGCTTCCAATCCACGGCTTCCTGGGACTTTGAGGACTGCTGGCCTCACTGGCAGATGTGTAGATGTTGTATTCTTCATCCTCCTTTTGGAGCTCGGAGAGCTCGGAGAAGGAATTGGCAAAGATATTGTTTCGGATCTTCCTCCAATGCTTAGTTGCCAAGTTTTGAAGTTGAAGATTGTGCTGGGAAGGGCTTGGCGATGGCAGGGAATCTAAAGCAAGTTTCTGCACCCAAGGTCTTTGCCCTGGTGATTCCAAGTGTAGACTCGGCAAATCCATCCCAATCAGTCTGGTAGTTCGGCATCAACAAATGGCCCGGCTATCCGGCTATGATGGCTATGCAAAAATGTCACTTGACAGTACTAACGTCCTGGAAATTGGAACAAAGATCAAGGATCAACCAAAAGGAGCACTTGTGCAGCATGACTTGTTGTACAAACCCTTCAACTTCAAGCGTCTCTCCCTTCTCGAATTATAGATGGTGTCAGTGTGATTCAATTTGCATATGCAGGCAGCCCTTTTGTTGAGAAGGGTTTCTCATGCGCGAGATCGCAAGATAAACCGGTCTTCTTGCATCATGCTTAGCCACTTCATCATGACCGTTATCTCTCCATGTCCTGTCTGCTACAGTGATAGCATGTGATAGCCAGAAAGTACACAACGCAGGCAGTCTCACCACTGCTGCACACTGCCGATTGCCAACTCAAATGCTGGACTTTGCAAGGATACATGTGTATACTGTGCATGGGTCAAAGATGATGGCATTTGCAGATAATATGAAGATAATAAACCATATTAAGTTCATACTATTTTATATATGTCTATTAATCCATATTAATCCATCCTTTTTAAGGCCATTTTGGGTCATTGACACCATCTCCCCATGACACGGTCTCTCCAGCGCCTCTTTTCGTGCAGCACAGTACAGAGCATTGGCAGGTCGCATTGGCAGGTCCAGAGGGACAACACACGGCACCGGCACAGCACATGGCACCAGCTTCAGCAGCTTCAGATTGCTGAGGATTGATCCAGATTCATAGCTGCCATAGCTCTAGCTATCTCTAGCTCTAGGCGCCAGCTCTCCCAGAATGTCCAACTCATTGGCCAGTTCCGTCCACGTGATCTGAGCAAAATTCCACTGTGAAGTGAAAGATGGTGAAAGATGGTGAAAGGCTGGGCACATCCTGGTGACTTCCATGCGACTGTGACTGTAGGGCAAGGCTAAGAGATCGTCACGCCAAGATATCCGCGCACGCAGCTCCCACCATCGCTGTCCTCGGCTCGAACAGCAAAAAAACATCCAGACGTCTGCCATGTCTCTGCATTTTCAGAATCATGGCATCATGAGACCGCAACGTGCAGTGGTACCGCCTGGGGACATCAGCTTGATTCAGATATTATTCAGATATTATTCAGATGATGCAGTGTGTGCACTCCAGTGACATCTGAAAGCATCGGAGCTTCTTGACATTTCCAAGGTCCTGGCAAGATCCAGAGGGTAAGAGTGGCGGTGCAACCTGGGGCTCCAGTGAAAAACGCTGAAAAACGGTCAACCTCAACATGTTATGTCAAAAATGCGTTTTGACCGGGGCCCCCACTGCATCTAACAAACCGACAGCCTGACACATCTCACACTGTTGGCAACTAACAAATTCAGCCGACTTGCTGCTGCAATCATCTCATATCCATGGTATTCCATTGTAGGATATTGTAGGTACAATGAAATTTTATAGCACACAACCCAGTAGGATAGCAGCCCTGACATCCTAAGCTGTTCACGGCGCTTCTTGGAAGAGACAGTGGCAGCGCCAGGGCTCCAGGGAGAGGGGGCACCTCTTCGGTCCCCGATCAAGTCATGAGCAAACCGTGGCCAAGGGGGCTAAGATCTCGAAGATGTTCATGATCATGATGAATCGTGATTCATACACACATATAATTATATATAATATATATATATCATATATATATAATATATATATATATTATATATATATATCATATATATATATATTCCTCAATTTTTCTAAGAACAAATGATAACAGCAAACGCCTTTTTGGTGCCCTCGGCCAATTCAACAAAGGCTCGGTACAGCCTCAGCTCAGCACCGACCTTCGGTTCGACAGGAGGCTCGGCTGAGGATCCGACAGAGCCTCCAATAAGTTCAAGGGCAGCGGCTCCTCGGGGTTCCCCAAAGCTGACAAGACATCAAATGACGTGACATGAAACTTCGAAACTTTGAGTTGAACAAGAAGTCCTTGAAATAAGAGCCTTAGTGTTCATCATGAGTCAGTATGAGATGAGTCATGGACACAAGCTCCACAAGTCAGAAAACAAGCACTTGACTTGCGTAAATACTGCCTGCAAGAGCAAGCCTGCAAGAACCTTCAAGAAAACAGCGTGGTCATCACCCACACATGGCTCCGGCATGCTTTTTTCGTCGTAACGGGTTGAAACAAAGCTGTATCTGCACGGGCACCAGGTCTTAGTGCCCGCTAAGCCGCTAGGCAAAAAAAAAGGTTCAACAACACAATCTGGCGGCAGCAAATGCGATATGGATGCGATACGGATGCGATATGCATTGAATTGCATTGAGCATCATTGAGCGATATGCGAGCAGATTGCCTACGCATTGCGAGCCGAGCATTTTTTTTTGCCGTTGTGAAAGTGGTCTCTCTTTGGATCTGCCGAGCTCAAAGAAGGAGCTCACCCCATTGGATCATCGAAGAGTTCTCAGATGCAGACACTGAATCAGACTGGATCAGACAGGTCTGGTGTATCCTATTGGAAATATGTGGAAATATGTTATGATAAATATGGTTCCTATATGGTTTCTATATGGTTTCTATATGGTTTCCCTATGTTTCCTGTCAACATTTCAGGATACTTCAACCATTGAGGCTTGTCACATTGGGATACATTGGGATACTTTGGGCACGTTCACATAATCTCCCCCATGTCAGTTGCAGTTTTGTGGCTATCCACCATTTTAAGCCAAACCCATATCATGGGGGATTTATGGGGATTTACATGGATTTTGGCATGGGAACATCAGAATGTACTATATGCAGTAATAACATGTAATAACATGTAATAACTTCAGAATGGCATATCATACTCCATCGCTGGATTCCTACTCCATCATTGTTTTCGTTGGCCTCAATCCCCATGATGTGGACATATGTGGACCCCCTCCATCCCCCTCCGCCAAGTCCGCCAAGCTTCTGTGCAAGCGCTGGGCCCGACGATCGTCGAATTGACTGAGCCACAGCCGGAAGACGCAAGTAATGGGCACGGAGAGAATGGCACCTCGGGGGGCTAAGATGGTGCTAAGATGGTCCAAAGATGTGGGGATTTAAGAAGCAAACATGTGGGTATAACATGGTATAACACTACTTGTTTAAGGGAATGCAATGACATGTAATGACAATGGGAGGATACATAGTTACATATATTGCACACAGCTTGTGGGTTGGCCCTCAAAATGAAGATTTACCCTGCAAATACGGCAATTCTTTTGGAAAAAGTGTTAAGAACCACTAATAAGATGGAATGAGATACCTGATTTCCACTCTGCACTGAAAAGCATTGAAAAGATGGATATCAGAAGTCTAACTCCAACAATCTCCAACCGTCTCCAACTCATTGATTTTCCAAGATCTACAGGCTACAGGCTGCTACAGGCATGGATTTCAAGAGGCAAACGCGACAAAGGCAGCGACCAGCAATGCCCCACACGCTGCTCCAGAACCTGGAAAAGCATCTGAAACGATCTGAACGCTGCGAGAGGTTACTTAGCTTTGCTTAGCTGCTGGTCTCTAAGGATGGAACAGCAACGAAACAACGATGATGAGAGGATGCAATGAAAGGCCTGGCGGCAAAAGGGCTACGTCCCAACTTTAAAATTTGCATCTTTATGAGTCAAAGGCTTATGAGACATCAGACATCTTTGACATGTGAGAAGCTGAGAATCCCTACCCTGAGACATAATTTGGGGCTCAATGAGGTTTCCAGCAATGTTGTGAACCTTGGCAGTTGACGTCAGAGAATCAAAAAAAGAACTGATAAGATCTGATAAGTCCAAGATCTGGAAACTGATACTATGCACTGAGGACGGAACAAGGAATTGGACTAAGACCACAATGAATGTGTCCAATAGCCTGATCTGCGAAGCTGTTTCAGCACTCCTTTCGCTTATCAAACTGTGATGCCTCCAAAAAACACCAGAAATCTAAAGGGATAAAAGGTTTAGGAGCAAGATGGAGCAAGTATCACATGCGGCAAGGCCACGTGCCATCAGGTTTAAGCCACACAAAAGGGATCGGGGCAATGATTGCGAACAGCGGGCCTCTCACGCGAGCCGCGCATGTACAAACAAACAAAACATGAAAGGAACACCTGTCTGAAAATGAGTCATCTTGAGTAAGCATTGCGAGCCGAAACAATCACATCTTGACATTCCACGCACCCTTTGTGCCTAAATTGGGAATAAAATTTGTGACGAAGGTAACCAATCCCCACACCTCAGCTCCAGAAGCAGAACAAAGGCTGAGATCATTCAGATCAGCAGCGATCAGCACTGAGCTCAGTGCGATGGTTAGAGGAACCTGCATCCACCAAAGCGCCAGCATCACGAACACCTGCAAGGGATCGAATAGTGAACATACCAGCGATGACCGGTGATGATTACAAAATACTACAAATTCGGAGGCACCATGCGGTCCAAAGATGTTCGAACTACGCCAAGGTGCTGCTATCACAAAGCTGGAGACGCTTTTGCACATCAAATATCTTTGCACCTCAATGGCTAAACAGAGAAAAACATTTTTTTAAAAAAAAGTTGTCCCCTTTTTATCCCTTTTTAGCATTTGCATGCCCCAAAAAAACACTTGTGCAAGGGCTATCAGATATACACAATATTACACAATGATGGTTGCCGCGGCCAAGGTGCCAAATCCTTCACCGGTGAGTCTCGACCTCGTGCAACAAGGGATGCCAGGAACGCAGCAAGCATCAGCAAGCAGCAATCCCAGCAGGCTTTAGCAGGCTTTAGCCAAGCATCGCCCTGAGTGAATCTCTGGGAGCAAACCAATCAAGCAAAAGATGAACATCAGCACGCAAAGCATCATCCCTGCCACGGCACGGAATCATATGAATATATACATATATATGAATCATGTCCAGTGCTGGCCCAATCAACATAATCACACATTTGCCAAACTGCTGAAAAATTCTCTGGATGGAAGCTGGGCGCGTGTCCTTCGATGAAACTAAAGAAGGAGGATGTCATTTCAAGCAAGTAACCTGACAAACATTTGTTTTTTTTGGGACAGTCCAGCCACAGCATGTCGCAGCCAACACACATGCCGAGCAAAATGACACCAGTCAATCCGTTGCAAAAATGCCATGGCATATGCAGAATCACAGCTGCATCTTGGTCACTTCTGAACTCGGCTGCGATCTGCTTCCAGTCGATGTCAAGGCCACTATGGACCTAAATCCCAAGATCTCCCAAGCAGCACAGATTGCAACAGAATGCACTCACCAAATCATCACAGGTGCAACTCTTGGAGCAAGCTACGAGGCCAAAGTTGGACAGGATCATCCTGATCAGGACCCAAACCCCAAGCACTGTGTCGGAAGCACTGTGTGACCAAAGTGACACCAAAGCAACATCAAATCCAAACCACATCAAGCCACCATGTAGTCACTTCGGATCTTCGGAATGTTAATTTATGATATTTATGTAGTCGCATCCAAACCAACATAAAACTCCGGCGTTCACAAACTCATGATAGAATTGATTCACCAATTTGGCCCAGTAGCTTCAATTTCTCCATTTTCTCTGAGTCTTTAAACTGACCCCAATCAAAGTCCGCGAAGACTTTAACCTTGCAGCAGCCAATGGCACACACATCGCTGTCTCAAAAATGTTGGACATGGGCCATCCATCGGCCATCCATGGATACATATGGATACCCTGTTATAAAAATTGCTATTAAATGATTGTCCAAACCAGGTCCAGATTTTGAGACCCCGGATGTTTTTGGAAGAGACACTGCAAAGCCTCTTTTCGAATCCAACCTTTCCGAATCCTTTTCGACTGTGTCTGTCAGGTGGCAACACCATAGAAAATCCAGAAGATAACTGCCTCAGACATCAGTGTTCTTCAAATCTTGTACTTGCACAAGGTCAATTCGCAGCATTCGCCACTGCGCATTGGATGCTGAGGGCTTTACCAGGAAAGACAGAACCACAAAAATCACCGAGAATATGCTCCAAATCCTTGGGATATCAAGGGTTTCTGCTAACGGGTTGCCATGGGGTACCCTTTGCCTCCCTTCGTACTGGTTTGGCACAAGCACTGTCCACAGGGATGCCACAAATTCACAGTTGTGGCGTTTGCAGGTGGTGTTGTAGGGGACTGCCAACAATTTGACGACCGCGCGAAGTCAAAAACCTCGATGTCGAGGTGCTGAAGGAGCCATCTTTCACATGAGTGACCTTGGTTTTAACACCAAGTGATGATTGCAGCTGCATCATGTTGCATCAATCAAAAGCAGGCGGTTTTTTGGCGAATCCCAACACCAGCTCTGGCACGCACAATACCAATCCAGCCGCCGATACCAATGCAGCATAAGGCACAGCAATTTCTGGCGGCACCTCCTTCGCATTCACTGATCGGGCTCGCTGCAGCCTGAGTGATGATAGTGATGGGATTATTTTTATGATTTGAATGATCTGAATGCTGAGATATGCTGAGTTACCTCAGTTACCTCAGTCTCAGATTGGCGCTTCCAAGATCGATTGCGCTCACTATATAGTTTGTTCAGAAATGGGGTATACCATGGTAAACCATGGTAAACCACCGGATTTTGGGGTACCCTTTTGGGAAAAAAAAACATGTGCTTCATGATCTGCATCCTCGGTCTCAAACACTCAGAGTGCTATCTGCGTCCGAGCTGTCTCCAGTGTCCTGGACATGCCATGACACACGCGACAAACGCCGCATGATCAAGCAATCCTTCAGTGCTTTCTTATTGATATTGATATTATTGATATTATTGATGATGATGATGATGATGATGATGTTGTTGATGATGATGATGATGATCGTGATGAAAACGAAGAATAAAACACAACTCTTCACGGTTTTACAATCAAAGGCGGCCTCTTGATCTGATCTCCCCATCTTGGTGCCGCTTGTTTCACGCCGATGCTTCCTGTGCGTTCAGTGTCCATGAAAATCCTGAAATTACACTACATTTAGATACATTTAGGACATGCCAGTGGTTTAAACGTCGGCCTTCCCGCAACGAAACACTGTTGAAACCTGTTTTCAAGTGCAAACTGCACCATCTGACCATCTACCGCCTTCGGGATCCGAGTTGTTGAAGTGCCCTCCCCACACACCTGTCCAAGCCGGTCCAAGCCGGTCCAAGCTGTCCAAGTCTGCTGATCTTTTCAAAGCTGAAAGATGCTGAAAGTCCCTGCCTGGGCAGGTTGACCAATAATGCCAGGAGAGGCTCGCAAAGAAATGCTAAGAAAATTGCGAAAGTCAAAGGCACCTCGGCGCAGATCGGTGTAGAATGTTGTGACAGGGCTTTAGGAGATTGCTTTTCCATGCTCTTCCTTTATTTTTGCCTTCTGACTCCAGGTGTGAGTGATGCAACACGGTTGCCCCGCACCCCAAACAAACACCGGGCCCCCATAGACCCTCCGGTACACTTGGGCTGGTACCAAGACTCTCCGCATCCAGTACAGAAAGTAAATCTGAGTTTGGCAGGAGCGCTCTCTCTATATCACCACTGAGCTCACCACTTGTTACTTGGTGAGACTCTGCTACTTGACCTTGAGAGGGAGAAAAGAAATAATTTTGATCCATATTCCCAATCAAACCGAACTGAAAATTTCTGGGCAAACTTTTCAAAACCAACAGATAACAACCCATACGCATGTGCATATATGGATATAACTACAATGATAAACGGCTTGGCTTAGTCTATCTGAGTCTATCTGAAATTGGAATTCCAGCAGTAAGGAGCAAACTGCGATACATGAAGCAACCAAGACCTTGGCTTTCAAAGCTTATCACGCGAATACCCTGGCCGCAAATCTGACCGCTTTTGCCCAATCACAAGCTGACGCAATTGTAAGGACGCTGCCATGCAAATGCCCAGAACTTCTCGAAACCGAGGGCGATTCCTGGTCCAGGCAGAAAATCCATGAGAATCCTCTCAAAAGCTGTCTTGAGCATATGTGAAATCTGATGAAATATATTGAACGCGACTCCTGGCACTTGCAGTTCCTGACAGCAAGCCTTCTATGCCTCAGATTATCTCAGATTCTAAACCAACCGTTGAAGCAACGAGAGCTGATCTCCAACAAACGATAGCTGGGGCGAGATGGGCTCCATGCTCTCTGCATTCTGTTCACCACTGGCACCACCAACAATGTCCAGCAGCACCTCATGATCCAAGTACCCATTCCAAAGTTTTCCATATGTCCTAATGGATGGAACTAGTGGCTGCGAACTCAGCTACTGCTACTGTTCTGTTCCAACTTGCTCACGTTCGGCCCTATATCCTGAGATCTCAACCGACGAGCTCAAGCGAGATTCTGCAGGAGATTCCTCGCTGGCTAGTCAGGTCTCTGAAGCTGAAGGTGAATGACCCTTCGCACCAAATAGACACAGTGGTAGAAAAGGAAACCCTGAACATCCCCAGTGCACAGCAATGGGCACGCACCACAATTTGCAAACACAGACCTACGAGATAATGAAAAAAATGTTGGAAAATCAGTCCAAAGAAATGGTCGTGGTAGAGCACTACCATTTGCAAGTGAAAGACTACAAAACAATGAAGATATTGTCAAAGCCAAAAGTAGCAAAAAGTACGACAAAATGGTAGAGCACTACAATGTGCAACGGCAGTGGCCTCTCTCGAATTAATTCTCGGAATTTCAATGTCTGGAGCCATGGCATTGTGTCAGTGTCAAGGCTGCTTCATTCTCGTAACAAAAGGTTGGAAGATTGGGTAGCTATAGTTATAGATTCAAGAAATGGGGATGATCACCAACAAAAACTCTGGATATTCAGGATTTACCATCCTGTTGGCAGACCTATTGTGGCCTTGCTGTGGCCCATGCTGTTGGCTTGTGGAATTTGACTTATTGCCTGCAGCCTGCTGTACGGAACCCTGCTGGGCCAACGGCAAACCACGAGACATGATTTGTAAACATGTATAAGTCATTATACGTATTATATAACGTATACTGTGTATGTATATGTATATGCAACACGCATACGTATATGTATATGTATTGTATATGTATAATCATCTATCTACAATATGTATCAAGTATCAATATGTATATATGTATATGTGTGCTGCATGAAAATTTGTCGTAATTACATACTTAAATTAATTCTGAATGATGTTTGCCATGCACCGACTCTCAGCCACAAAAACAATGCGACCAAAAAATTACTCTACTTCGTGTGATCCCCACCATGACATGTCAGGACGTATATTTGGACATATATTTAGTATATTCTGACATCCTATCTGACATATATTCTGGCATTCTATCTGGCATTATATCTGGCATATATCCTGACATTCCACCTGGCATTCTATCTGGCAGTCTATCTGGCATTCTATCTGACATATTTTCTGACATTTCATCTGACATATATTCTGGCATTCTACCTGTCATTTATTCTGACATATATTCTGGCATTCTATCTGACATATATTCTGGCATATATTCTGGCATTCTACCTGGCATTATATCTGACATATATTTTGGCATTCTATCTGACATATATTCTGGCATATATGTTGGCATTCTATCTGGCATTATATCTGACATATATTCTGGCATTCTATCTGACATATATTCTGGCATATATTCTGGCATTCTATCTGGCATTATATCTGACATATATTTTGGCATTCTATCTGACATACATTCTGGCATATATGTTGGCATTCTATCTGGCATTATATCTGACATTCTATCTGACATTCTATCTGGCAGTCTATCTGGCATTCTTTCTGGCATTCTTTCTGGCATTCTATCTGGCATTCTATCTGGCATCCTATCTGGCATTCTATCTGGCATTCTATCTGGCATTCTTTCTGGCATTCTTTCTGGCATTCTATCTGGCATTCTATCTGGCATCCTATCTGACATTCTATCTGGCATTCTACCTGGCAGTCTATCTGACATTCCTACATGAGGTCCGGCAGGGAACACTTGGCATGGATACTCGCGGTTGAGGTCCGGCAGGGAACACTGGGCGCGGATGGTCGTGGTTGAGGTCCGGCAGGGAACACTGGGCGCGGATGGTCGTGGTTGAGGTCCGGCAGGGAACAATGGGCGTGGATGGTCGTGGTTGAGGTCCGGCAGGGAACACTGGGCGTGGATGGTCGTGGTTGAGGTCCGGCAGGGAACACTGGGCGTGGATGGTCGTGGTTGAGGTCCAGCAGGGAACACTGGGCGTGGATGGTCGTGGTTGAGGTCCGGCAGGGAACACTGGGCGTGGATGGTCGTGGTTGAGGTCCGGCAGCGAACACTGTGGATCGCGGATCGCAGTTGAGCAAGGACGACGAGGACGACGAGGAGGACGAGGAGGAGGAGGAGAGGAGGAGGAGGAGCAGGAGGAGGAGCAGGAGGAGGAGCAGGAGGAGGAGGCAACTGACATAAAATCTAACAACCCTCACCTGGCAGGTGGGGAAAAAGACACTTTGCGCCAAGGCCCATGCGATCTTCCAAAGTTGCCTTGGATCATCCAATCGGTTCCATTTCTGCACAGAACACAGTGGCATCTAGGGCATCTGCTTCTTCCATGGTCAATCCTGGACAAGCTGGCAATATCTGGCAATGCATGTCAGTGCTATGCAACGGTGAGGGGAACATCTCCTTATACAAGATATCCTTAGATTGATCCCGCAACATCTTGCTACATCTTACTGCATTAGCATCACCTCCATTTGGGTGTTTCTTGAAAATGGATGAAAATGGGAGACCCCAAACATCCCCAAACTCTCCACCTTGGTGCGGGCTTGGACCAATCCGCTAATCACCTCCGCATCCTTTGAGCCATTGTGCAAGGCAGTATCATCCAATCGTGAATCATCCAATATCATCCAGCATCTATGATGAAAATAGGCATGATGGTAATTGTATCATCTAATTGCCTCAGGTTTTGGATTTTTGTTGGCTTTCTTTCCCGGTACCATTTGCCTTGTATTTGCAACAGTTTGGAACTAGAACCTGTCATTTTGCAGTATTTGCTACACTTTGGCACGGTCACTTTGCATTTTGCATGGTATTTGCTGCATTTGGCCATGTTTGCCTTCCATTTTGCATGGTATTTGTCATATTGTGGCATTTCAACCTCTGATTTGCATGGTATTTGCTACATTTTGGTGCTTCAAACGTTCATGTGGGTCTCTTGAGGATTCTTTGGGCTTTCATTTAGGGTGTCATTTAGGGTTTCTTCAGGGTTTCTTTAGGGTTTCATTTAGGGTTTCTTTAGGGTTTCATTTAGGGTTTCAAATTAGGGTTTCATTTAGGGTTTCATTTAGGGTTTCTTTAGGGTGTCAATTTAGGGTTTCAGCTAAGGTGTCAGTTAAGGTTTCATTTAGTTTTTTTTTCAGAATGTTGTTTAGGGTTTCTTCGGGATGTCATTTTGGGTGTAATTATGTATTAATGGTTTCCCTAGAGTTCATTTAGGTTTTCATGTAGGTTTTCTTATCAGGATTTCTTTAGGGTTTCTTTGGGTTTCACCTAGGGTCTCTCTAGGGTTTCATTTAGGATACAAACAGAACAGAATAAAGCAAAAGAAAATGAAAAACAAAGAGACAGTAAAGACAGGAAGCAAAGAAGCAAAGGAGCAGGAAGTAGAGCAGCAAAAACACATGACTGAAGAAAAGAAAAAGTAGAATAGTAGAAGTAGAAAGGCACAGACGTACAAAAGCAGAGAAGCAGGGAAAACAGAGAAGCAGAAAAAGCAGAGAAGCAGGAAAAGCAAAAAGCAGAACAGCAGAAAAGCAGAGAAGCAAGAAAAGCAGAGAAGCAGGGAAAGCAAAGAAGCAGGAAAAGCAAAAAGCAGAACAGCAGAAAAGCAGAGAAGCAAGAAAAGAAGAGAAGCAGGGAAAGCAAAAAGCAGAGAAGCAGAAAAGCAGGAAATCAGAGAAACAGGAAAGCATAGAACCAGGAACCCAAAAAGAAATCCAGAACCTCCCGCGAAAAAAAAACCAAAAAATAAATAGCCCTCACAAACAAAATGGACATGTAGATCATGAGTCTGCAAGTATGAAGCACATACAGTAATTGGGCTATTTTGATCTTAAGATTTCTCCCAAGCACTCTGTCACATCTTGCGCCAGCAATCCTTTTCTCACGGGAGGCATGAAGCATCTGGCTACATGCTAGTTATGCGCATTTATACTAGTGTCGAGCCCGTTGAAACCACTTCAAGTTTCTTTGGAGTTTTGGTACATGCTTCATCGGATTCCACTGTCTTATGGCCTTGTCGGCAATCTTTCCATGGAAACATGATGAAATATTGATCAACCATGGATCAGCCAATAGCCCCTGGGCTTTGATCTGGCAAGCTTTTGCCACCTGCCACGCTCAGGGATGGAATGCCTATCATGGCACCTGGAGCGTCAGATTCAACAACAGTGGCCGATACCAAGCTGATTGCGGTCAGGGGAAAAAATCAAACGCTGCATCTAAAAATACATAAAAAGATCAACCACCCATAAAGTGTGAATGTGGATGCATTCCCCCGAAAACATGTCCTACACTGACAACATTTCTGCCCTAATGCAAGACACAACACTCACAATTTTGTTTTCGAATCAATCTTCAGCCGACTTCAGCAGCCTGCCATCCCGAAGCAAGCTTTGGCTTCAAAACAGCTTTCGGCGATCGTTCTGGAATGCAGTATGTACAAGGGCCTGTTGGGCCCCATGCGGATTGAAAGGATTGAATATATAGTGATGGAAAATCAATGAAAATCACCATTTTGATAGGTAAATCATCCAACTAAACGGCCATATGAAATACCAGAGGGATCCAGAGGGTATATTCCTGCGACAGTGGATTCATGCGATTCACCAGGCGCGCTTTGGTCCAGGCTGACTGACAATTCGTTCGAGCTTCTTCTGCTGCGCAGCAGTGAGGACTGAAAATAAATCCTGAGCTGCAACCAAGAATGAGTCGATGAAAAGAGCTGTTAAAATAGTCAAACAGATTCAAATTGTTATTTTTCTTCCAATGGCGACGACTCCAAATTTGCCAAGCCGCTCGATATGCCTTCTCGGGCAGCTGTCTCAAAGCCTGATTGAGGTTGATCTGCAGCTCCTCACCGGAAGATACCGGAAGCTCATTCGATGGAGTGAAAAGCACACCCAGTTGACATCAGACAGCATCCGAGGATCATCCGAGGATCCTCATCACAGAAGTCTTTGTTCCCGTATACCTTCGACTGACATTCACCAGTGAGTTGGATGCGCAACTAGCACAAAAAGGGACGCAACATCGGCCCTTCATGCGAGATTTTCAGAGCCGAGCTGCTTCACAGAGGTAGCCCAATGCGCGAGCAGCCAGGAGTCCTTGCAGTCCACCTGATTGCACCTGCCCGCACAGGTAGACTATGGATCCAGAAATAGGAAACACATCCGGCGATGGCTATGATCACATCACATCTCTATCTCTCTCTCTATTGGTTCATCATGTTTTCATCCTGGCCTCTGTGAAGAGGCAACTGTTCAGCCTGGGACATCTGGGACACGGCACAAACTTGAGAAGAAACACCGCCGATGCCAAAAGGGGGTCGAATGCCATGGATTGCCACAGATTGTCATGGCCTTCGGCACTCAGCCATCTCCACCTGAAAACCGAACTCAAACAAGTGAGGAATTTATTTGTGCATGTAATTCTGACTAAGATTCATTATAGATTCATTAAATTTGTTTTGTTTGTGACTTGGCTGCATCAATTCTTCACTTTCCAGTCCAAGACTTCACAGTTTCACCAGTGAGTTGAGATTTTCCATAGATTTTCCATTGGCATTGCCCCAGCCTTCAGCGGAAGCGCTGCAAGGCACATGGCCCAGCAGTCGCTGTCAGCACACTGCCGATGTGTCAAACAGAGTTGGAGCAAAGCCGCAGTCTCACCTCAGTGAGCTCCCAACATGTCCCAACCAATAACCAATGGGATACCGCTGGGCCAAGGGGAAAAACAGCGCAACAGGGCAACTGAGGAGATAACTGAGCAAATGGTGGGTAATTTCCTATAGGGAAAGCCATAGTTTACTGGAGGGTAACCCAAATATCAACAACTTCACGGCTTTCCGGTTTCTAAGATCTTCTAAGCAGGGTCAACTGATGCAATCAAGACCAATTAAGCTCACCAAGTCATACATTCTGCTGAGCTGCTGTCCCCCTGCAGGTGTGCCTTGAGGCGTTCCGTTGCTTGGGCAGCAAAGGGACTGAAGGCAGAGCTTCTGGCAGCATAGTTCACTGTGAAAGCAGCCCAGTGCCGCTCCTCTTTACTTCGAGAAGTCAACGCCTCTGCAAGACTTGAGGACTCCCTAGAGATATATAGATTACCAGCAAAGTCCAACAAAAGATACAAAAGGAAACAAGAAGCAACCCAGCAGAAGAAATAAGATGAACTAAGGAACTAGAAATAACTAGAACCATCTAACATCATCTAACACCATCCAACAGAATCTAAGACCATCATCAATCACCTCAACCTGTTTTGCAAGCCACCCAGCAACCAGTTCCATATTGGTGACCTGCCTTGATGATCTGATCCATGAAGCCGGCCAACAAATTCACAGCTTCACCCAGGTGCTGGCAGATGTCGCAGGCCAAATGTAAGGCCAACTTTTTACCCCCCAGCTGCCCATAGGAAACAAACCACTGTTGCAGTAGAGCCTGTAGCGTTTGCCAAGTTGATGCGATGAATGTCCGAGCATCTGCCTTCATGCAGGCAGTGATCATCGACAAAAGCTCCGTTCGGCATTGATGTTCATCTTCCGCTGAGTCCGTTGAGCCCGTTGAGCCTTGAGAATCGGCCTCCGTCGTCTCCGTCGTCTCCGTCACCGCAGCATCGCGTTGAAAGGATTGACGGATCTCAGCCACGGCCAATTCGCAAATGCTGTTCACCTGCTCGGGCCGTAAGGTGCCGATCCCAGCGCGGTTGATGATGGTCACAATGCCCATGGCCATTGATGCGATCTCATCAGCTTCATCTGCCTTCACAAGATCTGAGCCTACTTTGTCTACAAAATTCTGCACCAATTCACTGACAAGTTGAGGGTTCACGGGAGTCACTAGACCCACCAGTTCTGCCCAGCATGGATATAGGGCCGAACGTATCTCGGAAGTGATTGGCGAGACTTCGCTGGATGGATTGCTGCACAGGAGCTTGGTGAGAGTTTCACTGGTTGGACGCACGAAATCCACTGGATGGATGTATCCCTCAGCTGTGTGCTTCATAAACACTTCCAAGATATTCAGCAGCGCAACCATCTCGGTTAACTGCCCTGTCTTCACTCGGATGGTAGTGTCACCGGCTGCAACGACCAAGTCATCATCGCCTGCTCCTTGGATGTCCGTGGTGAAGACATCAGTTTCAAGCACTCTGAGGATATTGGGCACAAAGTAGGGCAGGAAATCCGCGAAGTCTTTCCCCAGGACTTTGCAAATCCGTTTCAGGGCATCACTGGTGCAATCCGAGAGTTGGCCCAGTTGGCTGATGGACGTGGTAAACATCGACTTCAAGGCCGCAGCAGCTGCTGGGGCAAACTTCTCCTTACTCACTGCAAAACCCGTGAGGGAAATGCATTCGAAGGCCTTCTCTCGAAGCGTTTGGTGACTTTGGGAAACAGCCTCCCCGGCCAGGGCCCGCAACAGCAGGGGAACCAATGAATCGTAAGAATCGAAGCTGTCCAATGAAATGGCCAAAGCCCCAATAGCTTCCAAGGATGCTATCAGAATAGCTTCATCTGTTGATTGAAGTTTCTGCATCAAGACACAGATCAGTGTGTCTGAGAAGCGTTGAATTTCTTGCTCTGACAATCCATGGAGATGAGCTTCTAATGCACTGATGGCCTTCACTGCAATGACATCTGTGTCGTTGCAACCCTGCACAAGGGCAGGCATGAACTTGTCACACCATTTTTCATGAAAATTTGAGATACGATCATGACACAGCTGACCCAAACCGAAGAATGCTGCCAAACGGACCCGGGCATGGCTATCTGCCAGCAACTGCAGCAAAAACTCTGCCATTTGATCAGCAGCAGTGTCATCAGCATACTCTCCAGCAGCACGGATGGCCATAGCAGCAGCTACCTTCTCCTTCCAAGATCCGCTCACATGCCGTGCTGTTAGAGTCATCAGAGGCTTCACTGTGACTTTGAAGCTGAATTTCTTCACGAAGAAATCGACTTTAGCTTCTCCTTCCTTGTGGAGGTCCTCGTCGTCGTGAGCATTTTCATCAACTTCACGAAGAAACAGAAATGCTACCGAAAGGACCTTCTCCGGCAAGTCTGGCACAGCCTTCAGCAATCCCTTGGCGGCTGTGAGTGTGGAAACCCATTCGAAAGACAGCAAGCGCACTGCAGAATCCAACGAAGATGCAGAAGCAAAGTCTAACATCAAATCAATGCAGGTCTGGTATCTCGGTTTGAAGAAAGTAGGAGAATGCTCCACCAACCCAATCAATGCCTGCAAAGCTGTTGAAAGACTTCCACTTCCTCCACTTCCTCCACTTCCACCAGCCAAAGTTCTCAGTGAATCTTCCATCTTCGGCAGAATCTGCTGAATCTGCCGAATCTGCGCCTGATCCACTGCTGGAACTACTGGAACCATCTGGCAGATCATGCTGACCGTGCTGGCCGCGTGAAAAGCCAAGCCCTGGTCCACGATGGTCACCAACTCCTGGCCCTGGGACATGATCTCCTGGGCCAAGCTGCTCAGCTGCCTCCAAACACCAGCTGATATTCATATCCTTAATATCCATTAATATCCATTAATATCCCCCAAACACCATGGTTTTGTCTTGGAATTGTTCATGTTTTGGGACCTCTCTAGATTTGTCCAAATTTGATGGAATTTCATTTGGGGAAGGATGAGTATCTGGGATATATTTGGGATGTGAGTTGCTGTGACTGTCTCCTGCACGTGGCTGCCCATGATTTCAGACAGCACACAAATGGCAGCCTTGCAACAAGGATAAGCATGGATGGCATGGAGTATGGGACAGCCTGTCCTGAACATCATCTTTGATCACTTGGATCTGCTACTTTCTTTCGCTCTCTTGGTATCTCAGAGCATCAACCTCTGGCCGCTCTGGCCTCGGCATTTTCCTTGCTCAACTTGAAGGCAAATGGGACCAAGTCTGGCCATGGACCCGCCTGGATCAACTTGCCAACTAATATCAACTATATAATCATACTCTCCGTGATACTGTGATACTAATCCCCTACTGGGCCCTACTGCAATGGACTATATCGACTGCAATGCATCTGAACATGTGGAAAGCCACGTCTTGCAACACGTCTTGCAACACGTCTTGCAACACGTCTTGCCTCTGAAATGACTGCAATGGCGGCCACCAGAACACGTCTCACCGCTGAACTGGGTTCATAGGCCAAGGCCTGAAATTGCGATGCTTTTCCTGTGCGATTAGTGGCGATTAGCCTTGAAATGAACTGGCAATGTGATGGCGCCTTGAGAAGATTGCTTTGTACCAAGGGGTGCACAACTTTTGCCTCTTGCATTTCAAAGGGAAAAGGATGGAAAACGCATGAAACATCATGAAACATGGACAGAGCTGACAGAATCATTTTGCACTGGAAGATTATAGACTGGTTTATACCATGTTTTACCATGTTTTACCATCTGCACCCATCTACCATGCCTTGGACCATGGATCTTCAGCATCACTCTGCAGAGCAGCTCTTCGCAGCAGGGTGCCGGCCTCCGGGAGTCTGGTGGCTGGTGGATGCTGGATGGCAGTTGTATGTCGTCAAATGTCGTCAGCCTGAATCCTCACCACCTCATCTTGATGGGTCACCGAGATGCCGAGGCAAGCCTCAGTTCTCGGAGATATCTGACTGACAACTGCTGAGTAACTATAGTGACTAGTGACTAGTGAAACTTCCTAACATCTTGCGGATCTTGCAGGAAAGGAGCGAAAACTCGGGGTGGGTCTGTCTTGGACGCATCAGCATACCTCCCGCGACACACCCACTGCCACATCTGCCACACGGCGCGTATTGCGCGGTGCCAAAGCCAGAGTGAGCCTCCTCTCAGCGTCTGATCGCACAGGGTTGTCAGGGCTTCGCAGGAGCTGCAACAGGTTGACAAAGGCAGAGACCTTGGCGAAAATAACGTGATGAGCAAAAATGGAGTGTTACAAAATGCTTCTAGTCATGACAGTCATGACTGATATGACTGTTAATCTGTTGGTCATTGTTGATGATTGCGGAAAAATAAGACTACCAGGGCTCTCAAGTTGCATCAAGGATCATCCTGAATATGGAAGTATAAACATGTCAATGTGCAAACGATCCATTACAAATGGACTGACATAATGAGATCCAGAAATGACAGAACGTCAGCACTTTCATGATTATCATGATTGGCCTCTCATATTTTCTGAGCAAACTGACGTCTTCATCTGTCGCCATGCTCGAAAGCTGACATGCTGCCCTCTTGGGGCTCTTCTTTCAGAAGTGTTTTGATAAGAATTCTTTCAAATCGCGACGAATGGTTTGCTGCTAGTTCGGCCATCCTCTCTCTCTCTCTGTGCTGTCCCACTTTGATGTCTTTGTGGTGCTGCTGAAAACTCATAAGTCGGGTGTCTTTGGCAAACTCTCTTCTCCGCTCCAACATCTAACAAGTCTTCGATTGGGATGTTTGACAGTCACTGGCTACATCGTCCCATCATGGTACCAGCCCATTGAGCATATTGAGCCACTTGCAACGTCAAGTCGAATGGAGATATGCCACATGTTCCCTGGTTGTTTCAATTTTGCAACTGGGCATAGAACTGAGGAGCTCGCGATGGCAGCACAGGGAAGGAGTTGCTGTATTTGGCACTCAAACCTTGCTGCAACCCGTGGGGATTGGCAGGTTGCTCTTCCATCCGTCACATCTCAGCATTCTACGTACCTCTACGTCCACATCTGATCTTCTTACCTTCTTTGCTGCATTTTAAGGTCTCTGTACTGCTGAACCCCTGAAGCCTTCCACCAACTCAATAGTTCTGCGGTTATGCGCACCTTTTTTATCAGCGTCACGTTGTTGCCTACTCGCCTGTTCATGTTTCAACCGAAAGGACTTTCGCCCAAACTGGCGCATTCTGTGCGGGTGCAGCTACCAGCCCTGATCCTTTGCGGACCGAGCCACAGGCTGCCATGGGTCACGCTGCCTTCTGTACCAAATCTATAGCAGCTGCAGTGCAGCTAGCATCACTCAATGCAGCTCTCCGAAAACTACTTCGCCTCGCCCAGGGAAAACTTAGGCAACTACAATAGGCGGCACGTGTATTCAAAGGTGGTAATCGGTGGTAATATCTCATGCATTCTCATGTCCAAAAAGTAGAGCAACAAATTGTGCAGGGACTGTTGCAACAAAAGCTGCTATACCCGTAACAGACCACTTTTGTTATACTCTCACATTTACAACATAAGAATTATACGACATATATTATACATATATTATATACATATTATATATACATGAAACTGCTCTTTTCATCATCACCATAGATCCATCGTTACACCGTGGATCTCTGTGGATGCAACGGTGGCAAGGATTGGGGATGTCGCCTGCTTTGCCTTCTTCTTTTCGCCCTTGTCAGCTTTGGGAGCTTCAGCTTGCTTGGCCTGGATCTGCTGCACCAATTCCATGCCTGTCGAAATTCACGACAGCAGTTTTGAAGAAACTACTGTCGCAATCTTGGCTATTGGTATACATCACGATAGCATAGGAAACAAAAACAATAATATTATATATACTTGATATATAACAACGCACGTATCTTGATTGGATTTAGAAGGCCTGTGGGTTTGGTACCACAAGTACAGTAAGAATGTACCACAATTTAATATATAAATATAGATATAACTTGAAAAAACATTAAAAAACAATAAAACACATATGTAAAAAATATATTTTGAAAAAATATGATATATATATATAAATAAATAAAAATAGATAATTCTTTAACGGATTATATATTTCAGAAAATAATTAAAGAAAAACATGGGAAAAACGTAAAACAATCCATTGGTGGAAACATTGCTTTTTTTGCGAAGAACCCAGAGCTTTCTCACAACACAGGCAAAAAATGCAAACAACTGCCCGATACACTATGTATAGTTTCCGCCGGAAAAAACAACAACTACGTAAAAATCTATCAAAATTTGTGCATTGGGCAAAGTAAAGTAACACGGCCTTATGAAGCCAAACCCACAAGCCATCAAGATGTAAGTATATACATACATGGCATTTCAAAATATAAAGAGAAGTAAAAAAAAGTCTAAGGTTAAAACCGTGTCAGTGAAGCGTTCAAAATCCAAACGTCCAGTCCCGAAAGCCAGCAAACGTCCAAACATCACATGACTGCTCGGCTGACAAGGCCAAGATGGAAACTTCTGAGTTCAGGGGCTCTGCTTTCATACATGAAGCATCTATACAGCTGCTGCACACAAAGCGTTCTTTTTCCAACGCACAAATCTGTCTACAGCAGGTCTTCTAAGACTCCAGCTACTTTACAAAGCCTTCCTGCCCGCTGTGACAGCACTTCACCTGCGCGGTACGACACCCCGCCTGGCCCTCTTGTAAATCTGCTCCTCCAATGAACTCCTGCGCGTATCTTGAATAGATACTGCAGGCGCCATGGCAGAACCCAAAGCCTCCAAAGCCTCCATAGCAGCAGCCGTGTCCTGCAAGGAACAGAAAGAAACGGAAAGCGGATCTGCCATATCCACACGCTATGTCGCTATGTTGGAAAAAACGTAGGACAGGTAGCTACTGCATGTAGACCTTGAGGCATTTAGGCAAATAAGTAGGACAAAACCCAAGAAAAAAACATGGAAACTGACCTGCGTCCTTCCACCCAAAGTCCGGTCCTCACTGTGAGACAAAGGATTTACCTGCAGTGATTGCGCCCCATCTTTCCAATTTAAAGCCACCAGGGCGCACTGCAACATAGCAAGCACTACTGGCAAAGCCATTGCGTTTCCAGCCAGGTCCATCATCAAATTTTCAGATGGAAACCACTGCTCCGCAAGGGGCAAACTTTGCATGTGCTCCTGGACCAACTCGAGGAAAGGCGTTACAGGAAAACCTTGCATGACCAAACCTTCGCGCCCTAGAGCCAACCGAGCCTGGTGCTCACACCAAAGAGTCATCTTGGGCAAAACGGTGCTCATAGTATGCCGTGCTCTGTCTGGGTCCCAAGAATTTGAATTCATTCGGGTGATAGATTGAGACAAATCTCGGAAGCGAATCTGCGGAGAGTGCAGCTGCTGCAGCACCAGTGCATCCTTCTCCCGGTCCCCCAAAACTTGAAACCATTGGTTGCTGGCCAACTGCGTAGGCGGCCCTTGCCCCCATCGTAGCCGGGCAGATTGGGCAAATTGCATGTGTTGCTCCACCCATGTTTGAGGCACATTGACGGGCGGTGAAGTCTTTGCAGACTCCTTTTCCTTTTGTTTGGCCCGCTTGTCCAAGCGCAACTGAAGGTCTGCTTGCACTGACGTGGACGCCTGGTCAAGAAGCACGTCATTGACACACGGCCCGCCTCGAAGGCACCCAACGAGTAAGGCTCTGAAAGTGGCAAATGTGGCACTGAGGGGCCGTGAAACAAAGTCCACCAAAGGGTTCACAGCCGCCCGAACCAGCAATACATATACCCTCCTGCGCCGAGCAGCACAACCAAACTCAGCAGCATCTGTCATACAAACTTGGCTTTCATAGCCTCTCGATGATGTCTCAGCCAAGAAGATGTCCATGTTGCTGCTTTCAGCACCCTTGCTATCGTCCATCGCGTCCACATTCTCGAAGAGAACTAGCGGGGGGCATTTGCTGGACAAGTATGCCAACATTCCTTGGAATGTTTGTGCGGAGCCACCCTTGCTGCTCATCTGCCCCAAAACTCCTGCAGCTGCCTGTGGGTTGGGATTTGCCTTTGACATATCCTTGCAAGACGTACCAAGCACCAGCAAATCGACCTCTGGAACAAGGCATTTCTTTCGGTGCGTCGCCCATTCTGCTTCAGGTTGGCCTAAGGTGGCAATGTCTACAAAGAGACATGGTTCTGCCAGCCGCGTGTGACAGCAAGCACGGCCCGCTGCTGCAGCATGAGCTGCCTGCTGGCTCTGAGAGCTTGCCCGTTGAACTGTGTCGGCTGCTAGAAACGAAGCACAAGCGATCCACTTCCTTTTCTCTGCGTCCTTCTCGCAACTAAACACATGGGACATGCAGAACGGTGCCCCCTGCTTGTTGGACTTCACTGCGGCGTTGATGGCTTGAATGCAAAAAAGAGGCCCTTCAGACCCAGAGCAACAAGAAGCCCAAGACAAACAACGGGGAGGTTTTGGCCATCTGCCTCCACTCATGGCCGCGCAAGTTTGGAAATTTTCCACGGCAGCATCCATCAACCACTGCCCGCTCTTAGAGCTCTCAGCTGAAATGGTTCTACTTTGCGCCATGGCCCGCCATTCATCAATAGAATCTGGATCTACGGTGGGTCTCGCGCGCAAGACCCTCGCCATGGCCGGCTAGTGTGGACACGAGCTCTGCGAATCTGGGGGGAAACATATGGGCCATGGGCTCAAACCTAGCTTCATTTCATTTGATTGATGGATCCTAGTGCTATGGAAAATTGCCACTGCGGCCCGTTGCGGTTCTACATTGTCTATGTCTTTTTGCTTTCAAGAGCAAACGAAAACAAACGCAAACTTCAAACCTGGGCCAACGGAAATCGGAGGTAGGACATGTGCCAAGCAAACATGGTCTTCGGAAACACATCATAGCAAAGTCCCTCTACAGCAGCGTCTTTGACCTGCATACTTTCACACTGACTAGTAGCAGAGATGAAAGCAGCAATGACTTCTGCAAAAGACCATCGGTAAAGTAAACTCAGCAAACGCGCCCAAAGCGCCACAAGCACTGGCAAGCTCTTTTTGGAATCTCTGCGTTGTTTTGGCAGGTGGCAAAATGAATATTCACAGTGCCTGGTCTAAGGCCAGGGAGCACACAACTAAAGCGACTAACGCTGGCCAGCAACAAGTTCACACGATGGCCTGCAAGGCTTCTTTCGTCTCATCAAAAAAGCCCGGCTGGAAGCCATCCCCTAATTTCGATTCTACTGTTTGGCCGTGCTAGACTTTTTCTGGACCTTCGCCGCAGCATTCTTCTCCTTGAACATGCGGGCCAACCCGCTCGCATCCTGGTTGGCGAGCAACTCTTTACCTTGCATGACCTCAGCCATGGTCAAAGGTTCCTTCGCAGACAGCTTAGCTTTCGCCTTAGCCTTTCCTGCTGCCTTGGTCTGGGCCTTGGCCTCAGCCTTAGCTGCTGCCTTTGCCTGTGCTGCCTTGGTCTTTGCCTGCGGCGTGGCTTGAGCTTTGCCTTCCAGCAAGGCCCGGTCTGCTGCTTCTGGCCCGTCTGTGCAGCTAACTTTATGTCTCTTGGGGGCTTCGCCCGCGAGGTCTTTTGCCGGACGCTTTCCTTTCGCCCCTGGTTCAGCCTGATCTTCCTCCTTGCGGCTCTGCTTCTTGGGCTTCTCGGTCTTCTCCATATCTTTGCGTTTTTTTTCTTTCTGGGCTTCTGTCTTCTTGTCGTCCTTCTTCTCTTTCTTCTCTTTGTCTTTCTTGTCCTTCTCTTTCTTCGCCTTCTTGTCCGATTTCCTTTCTTTCTTCTCTTTCGCAGTTTTCCTTTTTTCCTTCTCGCCCTTCTTCTTTGTGACCTTGCCAAGCATACGCTGAAGCTTCTCAAACAAATGTTTTCTTTTCTCTTTGCTCATCTGGTCCTCTTTTTTCTTATCCTTCTTCTCCTTCTTCTCTTTTTTCTTGTCACCGTGGCTCGCATCTGCCGATGTGACAGGGGGGTTGCTCTCACCTGAAGGTTCGGTCTCAGCCTTCGAGTCCAACTTCGGATGCTCACTGCCAAGCGTGCCCGGTTTGGAAACCACTGGATCCGACAAAGCTGGCTCAACTTTGGCCACTGCCTTTTCTTGGCAAGGCTTTGTTTTCAGACCCTCTTGCCGAGCATCGTGTCCAAATAGCATCTCCTTGTCTTTGTCATCCGCTTGGTTTGACGTTCCACCTTTGTCAGTGGTAACTTCTTCCGGCTCGTGTGGGCCACTGCTGTCTTTTTCAACCAGACTCGAAGGCCTTTTTTCCTGAACTATCGACCACTGCTTCTCCACGTCCAAACAGCACTTTCCCAAGCTAAGCGTTACCTTAGACTCAAGACGCGCCCTTTGAAAACAAAAACCGGCCCTTTCAAAACACAAAAAGCAATGTGAACCGGATGGCGTTAGATGCCTCCAAGACACAGCTGCAGCCATATCCACCAGGAGCTGCTTGGTTGCATCATCTGGCAAAATGATCGTGACAGGGGTCTTCGGCAAATCTTCCTGCAGCGCCCTCTTCAACAACCCATCGATGGACTTGCACGTCTTTTTTTCCTTCGTCTGCTTTGGTCCCAGCCATGGGGGATCGTAGCAGGGTCACACCTGCAAACAACGTCACCAAGGAGGTGCACACCTGCGAAACACCTTCTGCCAACTGCGCTTCCTCCTCCCATTGCGGGATCAGGCCCTTGTCCGCCTCACTGGGCTTTGGCTTAAGAATAGCACAAACACGGCGTAATTCCTGGGCCTGCTGAGACAGCTTGACGCTCTCAGAAGCAAACCTCTGGCTTGTCTTCGTCATTTTTTGTCGGAACCCATGTTCCTCTGCAATTGACGGGATAGCCTTCAGAAACTAGGTGCATCAAAGCCTTCATGAGTTCTTTGCCTTGCTCTCGCAACTTGAAAAGCAACAAGGATTCGACCTGCCCCAGCCAAGTGAGAAAACCAGGGTCCTGAAGCTTCATTGCGTCCATGCGCTCGTCTGGCTCTGAGAGCTTCACCTTAGCAGCTTCCTCCAAATAGCTCTGAACAGCCTCCAGCCCTTCTCGCACAGGCCCACAGCCACACTGCTTCTTCGCTGCAGCAGAACCCAAACGACCAACCTGCAACACACAAGAAACCACCAAACATACAAACGCCCCAGAATTGGATTTGTCATGTCCTTGCACAAATGTCTTTGCCAATCCCACAGCATCAAAGTGACAACGTCTAGCACTCTAGGCTGTAGTCTATAGGCTTTGCAAATACGCATGCATTTAACTGCCTAGCTAGACACGTATACTACAGCCAAGGGCCATCTAGAGTTACATGACAGGAACCAGAAGCACCTAGACCACAGCGCAGCTGGAAACAGGCGCAAATCGGCCTCAAAGAAGGATGGGAGCAGCCTGGCCCAAGGGCCTTCCTTCGGTAGTTTCAACGCAGCTTCGGCGTGGAAATTGGACACTTCGGCAAAGGCCCCTCCGACACTCTCCAGACCGGAGGTCTTGACCACACAAGCTGTCACCAGAGAGCCCACTGCCTGAAAGGCGCACAGCGCTTGGGAATCTAGCTCCGCCTTCACCACTTCTTGGAGATTTGTTTTCACAGACTCTGCCACCTCAGCATCCAGAAACTCCTGGCACGACAGGTCGAGCCACATCTTCAGCTTGTTAGGAGTTGGCTCTGGAACCCGTCCGAACCCAATCTTCCTTTTGCTAAATACATACTCCACGAGCTCAGCCGTCTTCACGCTCACATGCTTGAAATCAGCAAGCATTTGTTTGAGCTTTGCTGGAGCTTCTTTCTGCGCACCTGGGTCCTTCCAAAAGTCATGGTCCACAAAAGCATGGCAAGACATGGTTTTCTTGATCTCTGCAAGGTCAAAGTCAGGATCAGTCTCGACCTCAGCATGTATGTCTGAACGTTTCATCTGTTTCTCCATCTGCGCAATGGCTTGTTCGACGCAGGTTGACAAGCATGCGGTCAAGTACCCCTGCGCCCCTGCCATCACGAAACTCCAGAAATCAGTCGTGACCAGCTGCAAGGTCAGACGGTGCTTGGCCAGCATCTCCCCATCTGCCCGGCCAGAGGCCCTGGATTGCCACCAAGGCACAACACCCTCTGTCAAGGCAATGGCATCGAGAACGTCATACTTGGAATCCAAGTCAGTAAGCCCCGCCCTCAAGTTTGCCAGCTTCAACTCACTCTCAACCTCAGACTGGCGATTCAGCTTCTTCTGTTTCGCATCCTCCACTAAGGCTAGGCCTGTCTTGTGTTTTGTGAGAAACTGCATGAGTCCTTCTTCCTCGAGACCTCCGGCCTCAATCTTGGCAAGAGCGTCGCCTAAAGCCTGCGAATCTTCTGTCTGGAAAAGATCACGGACAATTGTAGCCATCTGCTGAACATCCCTGAACAAAGTGGTGCCCTTCTCTGCTTTGTCACAGACTACGGAGCTCAGTTGCAAGGCTTGAGTTCTACCGAAACAGTCTGTCTTCTTGATATCTGCCGGCGTCAGGGCACGGAGCAGGAACAACAGTCTGGACTCCACCTCTGTGAGCGCAAACTTGCAAACCTCTTTTTCGCCGACCAGCTTGATCAGCTTGGAAACCTGCAGGGGCTGAAGGTGAACCTACAAATGGACCATCGCAAAATCCATCGAAAAAATTGTGCGGAAACTTGAAAAAAGAAAAGGGCTCGGGCAGATACCTGTCAGATTCATGGGGTTACACGTTCTAATTCTTAAGTTTGGTTCCTCAACTGCCCCCATGAAACCAAGACACCTTGCATACAAGCCTCAAATGGTGTAAGAACATAATCACCTGACCGGCCTACACGGCCGCAGGGGCCTATAATGTAATTGCACTAGTTGTCGAACTCCATCCCAGTTTTTGCATTGTGTTTTTCTCTGCAAACTTGCTGAAAGAACACCCCATGAAGAAACCAGCCTCCACGGATGTATCTTCAAACAGCTGGCAGTAGGCCTCCAGGTTGCGAAAAGTCATCTCCTCGTTACACTTGGCGCCCAGTAGTGTGAACCAGTACCGGGATCCAACCACGAAACTCTCTGTCCGCTTTGCTTCTAGGACATCAAACGCAGCAGTGAGGTGGGAACTCCTGGGGGTCTGGCTATGCAATTCCTGGTTGAAGCTGATGGCTTTATCCACATGGGCAAGGCCTTCTTCGAAAGAAGCGCGGCTATCGGCGAAGGAAGCTTTGTTGGCGCTTGCATCCACCCTGTTGATTTGGGAAGCGGTTGCTTTCCGCAGAGCGTTCAGCTGCTTGTGTCTGGCATTAAAGGTCTTCTTGTCGGTCCACTCATAGGAGTCATCAAAGACCAGCAAGGCATCTATGTCTTCGTCCATTTTCTCCACGGCTTTCTTCAAGCTTTGGGCCATTCTGAGGCCACGGCCATCCAAGCTAGCTGCCGGCTGCTGCTGTTGTGTGCTCTGCTGTGAGCTTGCTTCGGTAGCCGTAGCTGCCTTAGCTGGAACAGAAGGTGTCAGTGCGACTGTTGGAGCCGCTTTTGGCGCAGCTGGGAGAACTGGGCCCGCAGAGGCTGCTGGTGCTGTGTTGGGGGCAGATCCTGGACGGCGGGCTGCTGGTTTTGCAGTAGCCGTAGCTTTGGCGCCAGGTTTTGCGGAAACCTTTTTGTTCCCACCAAGATTCGCCAAACGATTGGCCAACCCGAGGTGCTCTTCTTCATCACCAAACCCATCATCTGAACTCTTTTCGTCAGCTGCCTCACCGCCATTCTCCTGCGAGTTTTGCTCCGCAGCCGCCCGGCCGGAGGCCTCGCCGCCTGCGTCGGTCTTGCCATGCTGCTGCAGCAACGCAAGCACCGCATCCACTGACATGGACGGCGCCTCAGCTTTCACGGTGCGACTGCGTCTTTCACGCCGGCCTTCGGACAAAACAGCAGTGACGGCCTCTTTCTTGTTGTTCAGACCTTCCTCATTGAATAGGTCTTGTTTTCCATCATGCTCCACAGTCTGGTGCAGAATGGAACTTTTCTCAAAATCTTTGACTTTGAAGTGCCCATCTTCGCCAGTCTGGCGGTAGACACCGCGTCTCACCTTGCCAAAGATTTTCTTTTCCACGATCTTGCTTTCGTCCAAAGGGCCATACAACTCTGGTTTCCAATTGCTCACCTCAACAAAAAAAGTCTCTGGAGCTTCAAACTGGCAACCTTGCTCCTCATTGGTCATCAACTTTTCCTTCGCGGAAGTGACGGAGTCTTTGTCATCTTGACTTCGCAGCCGGTGCTTGCCTGGATTCTCGTTGTGCTTTTTTATCCACTCTTCCAGGCTGGCCAGAAAAATCGCGTGGTCAACCTTCTTTTCCTCCAGCTGCTTGACGTACTGGCCTACAGATCCATACTTGTGGCTGAAACCCAAGAGCCTCCACACATTCTTGCACAAACCACAGAGCTTCGACTGAGGCACGGAAAATGTCTCACGAGAGTCCCGGTCAGAGACCTTCCGATAGCAACTCCACGGTCGCCGGCCTCCATAAGCATCATCTGCATGACCATCCGCCAGGGGACTAAGTGACGTACTGGTCTTGGTGCACAAAGCACATGTACATGGCTTGCTCAAGAGGAAGCTCACCTTCCGCACTGAACACTTGCTTTCTGAGGGTGGTGGCTCCTGCACATCAGATTCAAAATCTCCAGCATCTGACCCTGCCCAGCTGCTTGCCGCCATGTCGGCGCCAGCAGACACAAGGAAGGAAAACAAAAGACTGTGGCGCAAAAGCTGGAGCCAAACAACGAAAACCCTTTCAATCAAGCGACAGCCACAGGGCAAACGCTAAGGCACAGTAACCTGAGTCCCGGCGTTCCCAGGACGTCTCAAACCATTCCGCAAAACCGCGGCAGCAGCACTTTTTGTGACACGAATCCAAGATCTGCGTCCTTGTCCCGGTGCTTTGCCCAAGACGGACTAGCACAAGACAGGCATGCCAACAAAAAGTCTGGCCTCAAACCAACTTTGGCGGCAAATGGAACCTCACGAGAAACCAGAAATGAATCAAAACGATGATTTTTGGTTGTTTTTTCAAGTTATGCTTCTTTTTCTAAATTATTAATCTTTTTTCAAAAAACAAAAATCATACCCTTAAAAACAGATAAAGGTATGAAAACCAGAGATAAAGGTATGAAAACCAAACTTAAAGGTATGAAAACCAGAATTCAAAAAAACATTTATTTTTGGAAATAAGACACTTTGTTTTAAAAAAATGGAAAACAAGAAAATACAAAGCGGAAAACACAAAGGAGCAAATACATATACCATTGCACAAATCCAGAGACTTGACAAGCTTCACGCTATGCCATGTACATATCGCAGAATTGCTTCATCCATTTCTTCTTCTGTTTTTCCTTCCGCAAAATCCTTCAAGCCAGCTCCTCCCATGGCCACATGATCTGAACGAGCATTCTGGGCAGAGAACTCCTCATCAAGCCCGGCCAGAAGCCATCGTTTCAAACGCAACAGACAAGTACTATGATCCAGTCCACTCAGGTTCATGGCTTTTTTGCGCCTGGCACCACTCGGGTCTCCTCGGTTCCGATGCAAACCGCAGATGGCCCCCCACCCAGTTTGGCCGCCTTTCGGGACAATAGGCGACAACAAAAATGGGCCCCATGGAATCCCTCGTTTCTGTAGTTGCCTCTTTGGTTTGCCAGCGGGGCACGCCCGGCCAGAAGCCCCAGGATCCGATGAAGGGCCTTCCTCGGTGGAAATCACTGCCTGTTCAGTGTCAGCAGCAAGGTCTGCAATCTCGAACTCCAGCGTGCCATCCTTCAAATCAAAACCCAGTGGACGCCAAGGATCCTGGTCCTCTTCACCTGCACTGCCAGCCCAATCGCTGTGATCAGACCAACTGCTTCCCTGGGATAGGCGGGAAGGAGACGTGTCACCTGCTTCAACTCTGGACGGTGCATTCTGGCGTGCAACTTTTTGGGCATGGAAATCTTTGGACTGTCGTTTCCTTTTCTGTCCTGATTTAAGGCGCTCCAGCAGGCGGAAAGCCCGCATGGCCAAGTCCTTTTCCTTCTGTTGCCGGGCCTCTTCTCGCAACACAGCTGCATCATAAGAAATCTTGGCCGCAATTTGGAAATCAGCAGGGCTGTCCTCAATGTCTGCGAGCTCCAAACGGTGGATAACCCAATCAGACGCCTCCATTGCAAGCTTCGCACAAATTGCCAAGGCATTGTCATGCTGCGGGGCCACATCCAACCGATCAGTATGAAAAGTCACTTGCAAACAGAAAGGGGGCTCTTGCCCAACAGCAATTGGCCCCAGATGGAGGAACAGCATCTCCATCGGAGAATCCCTGGTCCGAAAAGACAGCAGAACAGACACCGTCTTTGCCGCGCTGGCAGATTCCCACATGATGACTAGAGGATGCGCCGCAGGTCTGTGCTGCGGAGGGTCATGTTTCCTCACCACAACGCACAAATCAGAGTGCAATTTGCTATGCGTTTGCGCTTGCACCGGCGATAAATCTCCAGTACAACCACCAGGAGGGCAAACAGTAAACAAGTTGGTTCTTTCCGTCAAGGGCAATGGTTCCAAGATCTCGTCTGCATCACCGTGCTCCTCTTGTGGCGACAAGCCACACAAAACGTTTTTTCACATATGATATGTTAGAATAGAAGGGGATTCACACAAGGTAAAAGCAATCACAAAATTGTCCTTCACCCACTGCTTTGCTGCAGCATCAAAGCCATGGACATCAAGAAAATGTTGCATGACCTCAGCCCGCACCGGCCAGGCTGCGTCAGCACCACCTCCAAATGCGGACAGATTCCAAGGACCGCCAGGCGTTGACGCACTGGGCGGCGCTGCGGCCAACTTCAAAGCTTCCCTGCGAGCATTCTCAGCTTTGGCTCTTTCGCTGTACTTGCTCTTGGAGCTTGGCGATAACTGAGACCATTCATTGGAGATTTGCCTCAGGAACAGATCAGCATTGGCAGCACCTTCTATACGTTTCCCTGCTTCCATTTTCCTCTCTTGCGTGAACATGTGGAAACCATTGAGTCGGCTGGATTTGGCCTGCTTCACCCACGCAGGCCGGAATTTTTGGGACTGTTTCTTGATGTTATTTCTCTCTCTCCATGATTCCACTGTGTTTTTGAAACTTCGCGTGATGTGTTTTGCAGCCAGCAAGGACAAAGTGTTCTTGCGACCCTGGCTTTGCGTTGTCCAGTGGCTAAAATTTGCAAATTTTCTCTCGATGAATGTCGATGTCAAAACAATCTGTTGAAATATGGTTTGGAAGAATTCCTGGAAAGCCCGCTCAGAGAGCACATCTGGATTTGCCATCTGCATGGCTTTCAACCGCTGGGAACAACCACTGTCACAACAGCACTCCCTGGCCGATCCTAACTCTGCGACGCACTGTGTCCTAGCGTTGCTGCTGGACCTCGGATGAGCCAATGGCCACAAGCGCCACGGGTAGCATAGGAAAGGTTGCACCAACTTTCTCAGCAGCTGTCCCAGACACACCACGATGGCTCTGCGAAGCATGCGTTTCCTTTCCTGGCTCCATGTCTGGAAATGACCAAAAAAAAGGACATGGTGGCAAGCATGGTGTCGGGATCCAGAAGAATCTGCATCAGCTCAGCTGCCACCTTCATCGCAGGATTCGTGTCTAAGACACAGAACTGCCCGACTCTGATGGTTTGAGCTGGGTCCTCTTGGGGCCGATCACAATGCCAAGTCTCGGTCTTGAAAAGCTTCCAGTGCAAAGTCATGATGGGAGAGGCGGTATGCAACCACAACATATTGGAAAAATTGGCTTGCTCATCCCCAACAAATCTTCTAGCTTTTTCATTCCGTTTCCTGGCCAGCTTGCGCCAACGCTTGGATTCATTGAGTGGCACTCCTAGTGCCTTGTCCTCTGGATCCTCTGCACTACTCTCACTGCTTGCCCGCTCCGAGAGCTTAAACTGCTTATCAAAGCAAAAACGGGCAACGCCGGAGAAACTGGCAAGCAAGACCGTGGCCCCTACGCAAGGAAACACCTTTGTCCATTTGTTCAAAGCTGGAATTTGGGCTGGCCGCAGCAGAAACTCGTATATCAAATCCGCTGCCTTCTTCTTGGAGTCGTCCTTGGAATCGCAGCATCCATCATGGCATATATGAACTGGACGTCCTGCGTGAACGAAGCAATGGGCGAGGCGGGACGACCATACCCCCGGTGCATGGGGTTTAGAATATACAGGTGCAAAAAACCAAGGCATTCAAATCAAACACGTTCATGTTTATCATCGGATGTTGGGAAGTAACAGGCGCATGGAAAGTCCAAGGCCGCATGCAGATAATCAGCTTCCCACCCTGCAAGATTACTATAACACCTAGTATGTCAGAAAAACCCTGTCAAACCATGGCACAATCTACATACATCGTCAGCACATTCCTTGGGTTTCACCACATGCCGCTTGTAGATTCCGACCATCTGTCTGGACACTATATAATGTCTATTCGAAGGGTGTGTTCCAGAAGAAACCAAGAGAGATATGACCGAGCCATGATGTAAACCCAGGTATATTTCACGGGAAGGTACTCAAGACTCACTGAGTTTCTCCAATGCGGGCAACTGGGTCGTCTATGAAAACAAATCCATCTGGCAAACTGGCATGATTATCGAAGGATTCAAGCAAAAATCGGGGTATCGGATGTCGAACCAAACAGTTCCACTTTGCTGCCTGAATTTCTAAGGATATCTGGCGTGCTATCATTATTGCAACCCCTTGGACATGAACAAAGAGGTGCCTACACTGGTGGGCCCATCTAGGAATCTTGCTAAAAGGAATCAGAAGATGAGAAGGTCCCTGCAGCCCGACAGTGTCAACCCTGCGTGTTTCTGCCACTTGCTCCAGATGCCTATAGCACCACATTGTGAGACAAAAGCCCGCCCGCTTTGAAAGCGACGAGCGGTAGTTTCACACTCCACGGTGCTGCATGCACATATTTGCTACATCGCTGCTCGCAGCATCAGCATGGGACAGGCAAAAAGAACGGCCACAGGAAACAGATCTATGATACAGTTGTTGCAGTCCATTGTTTCTGAAGCCTTCTCAAAAAAGTACATGTTTGAACAACGATAAGTCAACGGTAACATTTCGCAAACAATGTGAGGTTTGCTCTTGGACGTTGCGTGGCTTGACCCACCTGAGAGAAAGCTGTACAAAAGATCTATTATTTGAATGGATCTGTCATAGTGATGCCCAAACTAGCCAGCCTCTGCCCGGCTGGAAGCCATTATTCAGGACCAGGAATGGGAAGATCCTCCATAGCCACTGCCACTCCAGTCTTCCTGCCTCAGGGCGGCCGCTTCGGACATAACATTGAGAAAGCCGTCTCATCCCATCGTATATACCGGGTATTGATGCAGTGTAACAATTCATATCAACAGCGCAGGGTCTTCCTGTGTTCGAGCAGCGTGATTTCATTCAAGAGGTCGTTTCTCATGCTATGGATAAGTAAAGAGATCCATGATCCACGACCGGCTCGTATCAAAAAAAATGGTGGAAAGTGCCAAACGGAAATCGAGACCCGAAACTCACAAGCCTGGCCGAAGAGCCGCGGCGCCAACGGCTCGCATATGCGCGATCGTCCGGTGTAGGATCCGGCAAATTATTCTCACCGCCCCATTTACAAGTATAAACCTCCATTAGTTCTTCATACATGATTGAAACTACAAATTCTTCGCACATGAGTGGAAGTTAACGTTTAAAACTTGTTAGGTCAAAACATGCCCATTGTTTTTTGGTAAAAAAAAGTTTCTATAATATATTGTTTAATATTTTCCCCAAAAACAATGTTTTTTTTTGAGTTTTTGTTCTTTTTGTTTTTTTTATTTGTTTTTTCCTTTTTCCAGTTTTCATGGCTGATCCTGTGAAGGCTCCCACAGGCCTTCTTAGATCCAACCAACACGTATCATTCAAACGTTGGCAAACATCACAGCAATCATGCCGTGAAAGAGAACATCCTACTGTACATCAAGGGGCATTGTGGATTCACTAAAATGTAACAAACGATGCCGCATGCTCGGGGTCGCCGTGTCTTTTCTCCGGCCTTTTTCTTTTGCCTTCTCCGCCATCTCCTTCAAGAAGCCCTTGGGGTCCTGGCAACTGCAGCCATCCGGTGCAGAACATTACAGAAAATCAGAGAAACCTTGTGCATCTTGTCCAACAATTCCTCAGGGATCTTCTTCTTCGCCTGTCATTGCCACTGAAACCCTGTGCAACACGCAGTGTTTGTTGCCAAGTGTTGCCATTGGACACATGCATGCTCTGTCTCAAACAAACATTTACACGAAACGTCCATCAATCAAGCGCCTTCTGGTAAGCCGGGTCAATGACAGATTTGTAAACCTGACATGTGGCGACATCTCGAGTGTTTGATCTCACAGTCCCACTCATCTATGCTGTATGCCACCTATGCCCTGATCCGTGCTGCTGTGCTCTTTATTCTGAAGCCCTGGACGGTTTTGCCACCCTCGAAGAAGAGCATGTACACCTCAGACTTGGGCCAGTTCTATGCCCATCTCCCAGCCATCCCCACATATCCCCACTGTCCTGGCCGCATAGCTATTGGCTAAGGCCGGTGCCACAAGGGCAAACCTCACCTCGGTGTAGAACGGGAAGAGCCAGAGCGCGCCGTAGGACAAGCTTTCGAGGGCCGACAGGATGCTGAACCTCGGATCTCGATGGATCTCGGAGCTCGCAGCGTCCAGAAGGAAACTGCAGCAGCCAAGAGACGTCAGCCAAAAGGCGAGCCTAAGGAAGCCGCCAAGCACTCAGAACAAAGAGTGTGTATATATATATATATATAACAACACGACACCATGTAACAAATCTCATTACATCTCATAACAAAGCTCATCATTTCGCATAATTTCGGAAATGTTCGGAATCAGAGATGTCCGACAACATCTGAATATGCTTGGGCAAGTTGGATGTTTCAATGCTTGAAATGTTGAGCTTCTTGGGCCAAAAGACATATTGGTGTCGTCCTTCGAAGTTTCGGACTCCAATGCTTTCAAGCTCACCAAAGGCGCATAGACTGTGACCAGGATGAATTCAATCGGAGACCTCTGCTGGAGATGCATGGAAAGCTATGTGGCGCCAATATGATGTTGGTCAGAACTGTGGTGCCCCGATGAAAGGCTGGCCTTTCGAAATAGTCTTGAATCAATGACACTGAAATCCACTGAAAGTCTGAAACTTTGCCAAGCTGCAAGATGAAACCAAGCATCTCTCCGACAGGCACAAGCGGCTGAGGGCTACTGCAGGCACTTCTCTTTGCTGAAACAGTTTCTGCGGAGAAATGGGAGAGGCATGTGTCCAGCAGAATTCGTCGTATACAAACATGTCATTTATGGAAGTTCTTTCTCCCCATCAAAATCCAATGTGCATAGGCTGCATCAAGATCCAATTCTAAAATAGTCAGTCTGAAAAACCATGAAAAACCGTTGATGGTTTGTTCATCCTGCAACCTGGGGTCACTGGGGTCTGGGCAGAATTTGCAAGCGACTCCTCCGCAGTGGATCTTTGATCTTGGAATCTTGGGATTGGGTCATGGTATGATGGGCATGGGGCACCTCCTTGGCGCCCACAAGGTCTTTGACCTCAAACACACTGCTGAACCATTGATGAGTCCAACCCATAAACAGATAATGATATATATATATAATATAAACATTTAAATGATTTTAAATGATAAAACGCTGCATCACATCACAACCCAACAGCAAATCCAGTCATCAGCTCTGATGCCACAGCTAAATCTTCATTACCACAGGTGCACTAAGCCCACTAAGAACTGCGCCCATCTCTCAGAAGAGCAGCAAATCCAGCAAGGCGGAAGAGCCTCACCAAGGAGAGTTGGATCCAGATTGGAAAATCAATAACTCACCAACCTGAAATCTATTGAAATCGTGTTTGATTTTATCTCATACTCTCATATATTTTACATTGGTTTGTTTTTTAGGATCCTCATATATTGTGGGGCCTCCCGCATTCCCTGTATACATACTCACCCATGATATTCACCAAACCTCAGAAAATCCATCTAAAAGTGATCAACATACTTCAAATCTTAGGTGAAACTAGGCCATTGAATCCATTGACACCAAGCCCAACTTCATCCAACTTCCCTGGCCCATGGCGCCTGTGGATCCCCATTGTCATCAAGTGACCTTAGACGAGGCCCAAGGTGGCCATGGCTCCGGTGGCTCCGGTGGCGCCCTGGGGAGCCCTGGGAAGCCCGACACTTCGAAGGAAATGAAGTTCCCCTCAACGAGGCCGCACGCATTCATTGACTCCTGCTACATTGTAGCTACATGTGCAGAAAAGCATGTGCTTACAGCAACTTACAGCAACTTACAGCAACTGATGACTTGGAAGTAACATCCTCCAATCCCAGTGGCAAAACTGCACGAGACCAAGTGCAAACTGAGGATACCATATACATTTTTCTAAAGAAGAAATGGCCATTCGTTCTCCCATCTTGCTTGCCTTGTGTGGCGCTCATAGCATGGCATGGCATGATATGTTGCAGCCACCCTGCTACACCACGCAGCTTGCAAGGCAATTCTCATCTCTATAGTTGATAGATGTTGATAGTCATCCTGTAAGTCATACTCAATTCATTAAAGCTCCACTCCTCATGCATCCTCATGCTATGCCATGCCGCAGCGTGCATTTTCGTTGGACGTCCTCTGACATCGACGCGTCTTTGCCATGCAGCTGGATCACTTCTGCGCAGTCAATGGAAATAGACCCGTCATCCAATCTGCGGCCGCTGCAAAAGGACAAGTGGAAACTCTGTTGATCACGGTATTGCTGCAGAAGGTGCAACCATATACAACATGACAACATGATGCAACCAATATGCAACCCATCGCTATGTTTAAAATCTCATCAACGGCACAACGCAACGAGGGCCCATGCCCCCTGTCCTCACCACAAGGCCCTGGAATTCGCCGAAGCGAACCACGCTGTCGGTAGCATCAGTGCCTCAGGGGGCACATCAGAAAATATCACAAGTCGAAACGAATAACAAACAGAAACCCCAATAGAAAACTAACAGAAAACCAACAGAAAACCAATAGAAACCAGGAGGAACCAGTAGAGACCAATAGAATTAGAAACCTGTAGAAAGCAACAGGGTAACAACATCTTGAGCACACGCACAAGGACACTGAGGCTGTAGCCAATACGCTTCCACAATGGGGCAGAGGCCTGTGGCCTCAGAGATTTGTGCGCCATCTCTTTCAGCCATGAAAGTAGCACCCATTGGTTTTGATGGCTGATCTCACTGAGGCATCCGGGCAGGCCGTGTTTGTTCGTGTGGATCTTGAAACAAACAACGTCATTCACAGCCAGTGCGCCTCAGAAACTTCTGGGGCACATCCTCAAAAAAGCCCAGGTCATGTCGACTATGAACTGCTGTGGTGCAAACATATCAGAAGTAAAGGAAACTCGGTTGCCAACTGGGTTCTGCAACAGATTGGTGAACATATACCTCTCAAGGATGGGCCAAATTGAAGGCAACTGAAGCAGCTGGCAACTCTCCTCTCAGATGTGTCAAGTGAAGGGCACGTCTCGCGACAGATTCGACGCAGGACATCTGACCATTGAAACCTTGGAAACTTTCCCAGAATTGGTTCAACAGGAAACCTCCAGAGTGGTGTGAAAAATATCGGTGTCCAAAACGATTTTCCAAAGCCATTTTCCTTCACATCAATCCCTTGACATGTGGCATAATCCGAGTGTGAGATCGAGACACGCTGAGGACATGACATTTTTGGTCACATCAACCAAACACACACGGCCCGCATGGAACTCGTCCGGCCTTGCACTTCGGAACACATAAAATCGACGCACACGTCACTTCACAATTTGGACTGATCCATATCAGCTCGTCCAGAAAGAGAATATGTACTGAACCCTGAAATCACAATTTAACTGAAGAACACAAAACGGTTATCAACCGGGTTTTTTTGTGTTATCCAGTTATCCGAGAGTTTCTTAGAGTTTCCTTTGGAGCTAAGGTTGCAGCATCCAATCAATTTCCAAATCGTCCACCTGGTTGGCAGCCGCCTCTGCACCCCAGGAGTCTCCTGCGGATTCAACCAGGAAGCTGATGCTGGTTTGGAATGGGGATACCATGGGATACCTATACTAGTTACTAGATGTTACTATATATGTTACTAGTATGTTACTATATATGTTACTAGTATGTTACTATATATGTTACTAGTATGTTACTATATATGTTACTAGTATGTTACTATAGTACACTATAGTGAGAATCCTGAGCTTCGAAACCCAAACCACCAACCATTGGTGGATCCGACATGATCCGACATGATCCGACTAAGCGCTGGGCTCGCTGGACCCTGGCCACCAGCAACAAGTCCCTTTTGAGTTCCTTTCGCAGGCCTAAAAGGACCAGGTTGGAAAGATCCCTGCAACAATGGTCAAACATCGGCTCAAACATAACAACGTCAATTTGGTAATAGGAAAATGATATAAATATATATATATATATATATATCATCATACAACGCCAACAATGACAAGGATCTCAACAATAACAATGACAATCGTAACCCATTCCCATTAACATCCCAGATGATCCAAGATGCAAATTCCGAGGCCGGGACCAGGCAGGCCAACCCTTGGAGAGCAGTGGTTTTGGCTTGGGTGCTGCTGGCATGCCCTTCAATGGGCCTGGCAACATCGATGCAGATTCGAACAAACAGAACTGAAACATGTGTAATTGTTTGAAGAATCAATAGGATGATGACGATGGGGATTTTGATAAGGACGATGTTAATGAAGATGTTGATGACGGTGATGTGGAACATGATCATGACACATCATGACAAAGAGAGCCATGACTGGCCGTCACAGCGAGGCAAATCAGGCGGTCATAATCGATATGCCTGGGGGAAGGGCTTGACCTTTGGCGCCCATCCAGGCACCTGCAAAAACACAGCAAGGTCTGGGTTGATTTTTGATGATTTGTTTCTTAATGATTTTTGATGATTTTTGGTGGCAACTTAGATGGCCTCCTTTTGGTGCTTGCGTGGTTGGCCCTTGAACGCGCCTCAGCTGGACAGTAGGGTCGCAGGTCTTGATCAGCTGCGGTATTCGTGTATTCCAGAAGGTTTCAAAATTTTCATAAGAGGAAAAACAAATGCAAAACTGACATCCCAGAATGGCCCAAATAGATCCCTGGCACCGGTAATTCCAATCCTTCCATTCACTAGCCACAGGAGGCGAAGCCTTGGGCGCCCTGCACAGTGCCGCCCTTGGAAAGGGTTAAAGTTGGTGGCCTCCCACCGGGAGCCTTGCCACCTGTCCCAATTTTGGAGCGTGGAGCGTCTTTCGCATCTTTTGCTCAAGTAGTCTAGGTCACTACGGTGGGTGGAAGAAATCCTGCACCACCTCTATAACCTTAGATTTGCTAATGCATAACTTGTACCCCCGTACCCCCAAGCTCAATGTTGAATGACATGTTGACAGGTGGTGCAGGATTTCCGTCAATCGGACAAATCCATTTTGATCACTGCGTCTTCAAACAATATTAAATTAGGAGCGCGAGGCTTTAAGTGTAGGCATTTGAAAGTGGTGCAGGGTTTCTTCCATCAACAGTACTGAAATTCTATGTGCCTGGGTGAAGAACTGCAAAGAATCAGCGGGCAGAAGCTGAAGGATGTTTTGGCCATATGCATTTTTTCTTGTCAGATTTCAACCTTTGAATTAAAGGTCATCAAGCAAGGTGCATGTAGATATGACTATATTGCAACACAAGCTGGGCAGAGCAGCGCTGGCATGCCGGAAAACGGTTGCCGCACCCGGAGACAGGAGGAAGCAGAATCCTTTTCAAAGAAGCATGTGAAAGTGACCAGTGTTGCGTGGCAGCCCCACGCAACACTACACGCTACACTACACGCAACACTACACGCTACACTGCACGCAACACTACCGAACTGCTGGCAGGGGCAGCATTTTGGAGCTTTCATGCTTTGAAGGAATGAAATGAAAATACAAGTCAGTTTTTCTGTCCTGACCTGAAATGCTGCCCCTGGCAGCATTTCGGTAGTGTTGCGTGTAGTGTAGCGTGTAGTGTTGCGTGTAGTGTAGCGTGAGTGTTGCGTGTAGTTTGCAGTGTAGCGCACGCTGGCTGCCATGTAGCTCATTTTGCCTCGTGCTCAGCTGTGTGCAGGTGAAGAATGAAGCACACTGGGGGAACTATGCGAAGGACCGACGATGGATTTGATCCCCTGGAAGTAGCTGGTGACGGGCAGAAATGTGAAGGACCAAAAATACAAGAAATCCTTTTCTTTCTTCGGTGGGTGGAAGAAATCCTGCACCACCTCTATAACCTTAGATTTGCTAATGCATAACTTGTACCCCCGTACCCCCAAGCTCAATGTTGAATGACATGTTGACAGGTGGTGCAGGATTTCCGTCAATCGGACAAATCCATTTTGATCACTGCGTCTTCAAACAATATTAAATTAGGAGCGCGAGGCTTTAAGTGTAGGCATTTGAAAGTGGTGCAGGATTTCTTCCATCAACAGTACTCAACAGTACTGAATTTCTATGTGCCTGGTTGAAGAACTGCAAAGAATCAGCGGGCAGAAGCTGAAGGATGTTTTGGCCATATGCATTCATTAGCTTGTCAGATCATCAACCTTTGAATTCAAGGTCATCAAGCCTGGTGCATTTAGATTTGACTATATTGCAACACAAGCTGGGCAGAGCAGCGCTGGCATGCCAGAAAATGGTTTCCGGACCAGGAGGAGGGAGGAAGCAGAATCCTTTTCAAAGAAGCACGTGAAAGTGACTAGTGTTGCGTGGGGCTCCCACGCAACACTACACGCTACACTGCATGCAACACTACCGAACTGCTGGCAGGGGCGGCATTTTGGAGCTTTGAGGCTTTTGAGGAATGAAATGAAAATACAAGTCAGCTTTTTCTGTCCTGATCTGAAATGCTGCCCCTGACAGCATTTTGGTAGTGTTGCGTGTAGTGTAGCGTGTAGTGTTGCGTGTAGTGTAGCGTGAGTGTTGCGTGCAGTTTGCAGTGTAGCGTGCAGCGGCTGCCATGTAGCTCATTTTGCCTCGTGCTCAGCTGTGTGCAGGTGAAGAGTGAAGCACACTGGGGGAACTATAAGAAGAACGGACGATGGATTTGATCCCCTGGAAGTAGCTGGTGACGGGAAGAAGAAATTTGCAAGACCAAAAATACAAGAAATCCTTTTCTTTCTTCGGTGGGTGGAAGAAATCCTGCACCACCTCTATAACCTTAGATTTGCTAATGCATAACTTGTACCCCCGTACCCCCAAGCTCAATGTTGAATGACATGTTGACAGGTGGTGCAGGATTTCCGTCACTCGCGCAAATCCATTTTGATCACTGTGTCTTCAAACAATATTAAATTAGGAGCGCGAGGTTTCAAGTGTAGGCCTTTGAAAGTGGTGCAGGATTTCTTCCATCAACAGTACTGAAACTTTATGTGCCTGGTTGAAGAACTGCAAAGACTCAGCGGGCAGAAGCTGAAGGATGTTTTGGCCATATGCATT